CGAGCGCGCTTGGGTGCCTTGAGCCAGGGCAGCGGCTCGTTCTGCAGCGACGACTTTGGGGTGCGTCACCAACCGGTATGATTTCGTTGTGTCTGAGCGGATGTCCTCAACAAATAAGCCCCGGCTCTCCAAGTAAGGATTGGCATGACTGAGTAGCAGCCCCGCAAGTTCGTACTCCTTTCCTTCTTTGGCGAGTTCCCGCACCTGCATCAAATAGCGAATGCTCGCATCCTCTAATGTCTCTTGTGGAAGTACCCGCTGCAGCATCTGCAGCACGGAGGCAGCATTTTCTTCACGTAATGCCTTCAGCGCGACCTTGAGCAGGGTTTCTGGGGCCGTGTCTGGATTTTCGTAGCTAGGGAGTTCTTCCCCGTGGCCGTTGAAGACGACAGTGGCGAGGCACCGCTGACTGAGACATCGTGGCTTTCGTGGTGTGAACTGGAAGTGCCATACTTTGGTCGGCATCCAACATGATGGCCAGGCAAGCCAGCTGCATGCGATGGCGAGCTCGGATGCTCGCCTCCTTCTCGCACAACTCGCCATGGCAGTTAATTTAGCACATGCTTGCAAGCTTGCTCTCAAGATAGCGTTGTCCTTGAGCTGATGCACACATTGGCGGTTGGCCTTCTGCTCCCGCAGACCCAACCCGACACTCTGTGTTAAAGATCTGTTAACACCCAAAGTGACACACAGGCCTCAGGACATTTGAAGGCGACACTGTCTGAATGCAGCTGAACAAGACAACCACGTGTCTCAGGAGCTTGATTCCGTGATTCCAAACAGGGCAATCTCTTTCGCGAATTGTTAGAATGCAATTGAAAAAAGGACATCACACGGGGAAGCTCAATTAGACTTGGTGATTTGCCCGAATACACCTCCCAATAACAATGACCATTGAAGGAACCCCCTTCCCCGCCCAAAAGGTGCCACCCAGTAAGAAACGCCCCCGACAATATGTGCCGGCGGTACCTTCAGGCCGCGCCGCGCCAACTCGAGGGCGACGGAACCTCCGAGATGAAGATTTCGTCAGGTTCGGAGCCAAGCTAAGAATATTGGGGAGAGGGCACTTGTCATTACTTGACACATCTTGAGATCAATCAACAAGCGTATGGTGCCGTGTCTTTGGCAGTCTTGCCGTTTTGCCCTGTAGAGTACGCAAAGATCTGCGTCAAATGGTCATATCAGTTAAAGATTCTGCAGATCTGATCCCGAGAGGCAACGAAAACTCGAAAGCCTGGACAAGTGGAAAGGCTTACGGTGCAGTAGGTCTCAACATGTCTCAAGAGGATGAAATTCTTTCACCCTGCAGCCCAGAACAGCCCGATCAAGCTGGTCAAATTGCCAGGGGACCTCTGGAGGTCTTGGAGAGAGGAGAGAGTATCACTACGTAAGTGGCCACTATCTCTGCAATGCGGGCTTGACACCTGCGCTGCCCAGAGCCTCTACAGTAAATGCCTTAACTCCAAGATCACCTGGAAGTTTAACAAAGACCGGAGCCGCATGGCTCCTTACACTCGAATCGTCGAAAAAAATATACATACATATACATGCATATAGGTATATTAATATATAAGGTATACAGCCCTATATATATATATGTGAGTGATGGAGCGCCTTATCTGGATGGAAGGCGGGTGAATAAGGATACTGCAAACGAGGAAGCACGCACAAACTCCCAATGTCGTCGAATCCAACCGACGTTGAAAAAAAAGTGACAGCTGCGAAAACTCTCACTACACTTGAAGATGCCTTTGTCCACTCGAGATGGGCCTCGGCTCAGCAATGCTCAGCAATGCCCAGCATGGACTGCACAACTTGGGCACAAGCCGATAAGAACAATGTCAGCTTCTGCCCATCCCTGGCACATGTCTCAGTCACCATCAAGGCCCCAAGAGCTTGCTTCGACATCGACGCCACAATGGTGCATTCCTATACGAATCCGAACGACAACTGTCGGTGTTTCTGAAGCGATGCGAATTCCTGCGCCTGAGGATTCAACCCAGAGACGTGCTTCTGCCCGTATTTGACAGCCTCCACCATCCTCTGCAGGGGCTACTTCTGCTTTTCGGACTCCAAAGGCGGAAGCCGAGGACATGGCCCCAGGAACTCCTTGCTGACCAAGTTTGAGACTTTCCTCTCGTCCAGGCCTCAGAAATGCTTCCAAGGCTGCAGTCAGCTTGCTTTCAGGATGCTCAGAAGGCTTCTCAAGCATTTTTAGGGACTTGAGGGAAAAACGACGAAAAGAGCATGATGCGGTCTTCAGGCCCCCAGGCGAGCGGTGTTCGCTCTGCCCGGCAGGCCCAGGGCCGTGTCCTGCAGGAAGCTGCTGAACTCGTCTAGGAGGGGCGACATGACCTCTGAGCTTCGGAGCGGATCTTGGCAAGACGAAAGCTGACTCGTGAGCTCGCGACGTCAACAAAGCGAATACCCGCATCCGCGCAGAAAGATTTAGCCTGAGCTCTGTGCAGACTCGGGCGCAACTTGAGAACGGACCTGACATGACCCTCGAAGCCGGGCCCTCAACCCACCCAACCAAGGTAGGATCCTTGGCATCTGGGCGAAAGTCGGGAAGGGTGAGGGAGGCAAAAAGGCATCCGCAAGGCATCCACAAGGTCTACCACATGTTCAAGTGAACCAAGCAGTGTTCCAGGTCCCCCGCAACGAACGTAGACAAGATGAGAGTATTACTGCCTGCCAAGGCTGGCACGAGGATGCAGGGCAACTTTTCTGAATCATGGTTCCTTTAAGGCCGTGTCGTAAGCCTGGCGACCCAAAAGAAAAAGCACCCACAAGTCAGAGAAGTGGCCACGTCACGTGGGCGATGCTCCAAGATGGTTTGCCACGGGTAACCCCGCCCCCGACCCCATGTGTCTTGCTTGTACTTGGCTTCCCCCTCCCCCCCCCCAGAAACAGAACAAGGCCGTCGGTTGAGAACTGCCCGTCCTGTCTTCGTATTCTGGATCACGCTGTGGAGCTGATCAGCTGTGGTCACCTCTCATCACAGCAGCTTGGCCAAGGCTGAGAGAAACAGTAGGCGCGGAACCCATGAGATGTTGTAGTGAGACATTGTAGTCATCTGCAGACTCGACCTTCCTGCTTCAAGATGCTGGAGACTGGCCTTGCTAGCACGGACAACTTCAATCTCTCCCGGATCCTCGAACCTGCCAGGATACCCAAGAAAATAAGACGAGGCGAGATCATGCCCTGAGGTCATCGAAGTCTGGGGCGCGAGCTGCGCTAGCACGCCGTTCAGAAGCTTGGCAGCTGTCTCGCCTCGAGGTTTCAAAATCAATTTTGGACGGTTGCGCTCCAGGCACGTCTAAGAAGTTGCGCTCCCGGCACTTCTTAGTCGTGCTAAGCCCAACCATGATCAGTTTTGTGAGGGAGGTCGGCTATAGTCAAAAAAGAAGGCTCGTGACGAACTCTGACAGCACACATGCCAGCTGCAAAATGCCAAGAGAGGAGCCGGTTGCATCTGATACCACCTCAGGCCCGCGACATCAGCTCATTCGTGAGCACTTTGATCTAGCTTCAACACGAACTCGCAAGGCAGTCCATGGAATTCGAGGTCACAGCCAGAATAGCTCTTGAGCTGCCACTGCTTTGCGCATGTAGAGGTGTTGCAGGCCTGAGAAATTGTTGTTACGCCATGCAAGTTGGAGCATCCGGTCATTCAAAAAACTCTATTTCTCGACTATGGCTGCATCTTCTCAGGTGTCAGACTGCGTTCCTGTGCGATGCGACATAGCAGTCTTCATCCATACTCAGAACGTGACCTGCCAGTTGACACCTGTCCATCTTGCGGATGCCATCATTATCATCTGCACGCCAAGCACTCATGTTGCACTCGGCCTAGTAAGCGGAACCTGCCCCGACCCCCCCCCCCCTCCCAACAAAAAAGGGACCCTCAAGGCTTGAAACTTTCGAGATTAAAGGAGGTGACCCAAGCAATCCGACTTAAGCGAATCGCTACCTATCACGACATTTGTTTCGGGCCCCATTTTGTAGAGCAACCGACAAAGGAGTTTTGACATACGTAGTGCTGGCTGGGCTTAGCTTCCTGGATTCTCAGGGCTTTGGCTCTCTCTCAGCTTCATTGAACTCAAAAGCCTTCAAAGCCTGAAGGGCAAGTCCTGAAGCTATCCTGCTTTGCGAAAACCTGAAGCCTTCAAGGCCTCAAGCCTACCTGAGTGTTTGCAGCCAGATGAATCTGAAGGAAAAAAGCCCGAGACCGCATAATTGAAAAACACAACCCAAGAAAACTTGTGATTCTAGCGGCGAGCCCCAGCCTACTGAGCTCGCAGAATAATTCCGGAAACGTGTGCAACACACCGGGATAAGGGATAAGCCGGGTGCAGCATGATGGGACTTATCGAACTATGCGCAGCCCAAGCTCGCCTTCCTGGGAAAATGAACGAAAGGAACATGCCAAGCAAGGCAGATGCAAGTTGCCAGCGCCAGCGCAAGCACCTGAAGGCAAGGCTAGACCATGACAGTCGCAACGGTGGCCAGCATGGTGCCAATATCTCGCTGCGAACCTTGTGCTGACTGAAACGTCTGCATGCTTCAGGCAGAAATTCATCACCAAGCTGCCGGAGGCCGCATCTGAAACGCGAAGCGTCTGCCAAACCTGTGGCGCGGCTCCTATGGAGCAGCTGAGCAGCTCAGACCTGAGAGCCGCACCTCCCTGTCATTCCTCTCATCACCTTTGAGGACAAGCGTGTAACAACTCACAAGTTTCAACAGCTGCAAGTCACGGGCCACCTCCGCATGCGCGGCCAAGCAGGGACTCGCCAAAGCTTCAGCGCCAGGCCATGGTAAATGGTCAGCGCCACGCTTGACGCAAAGCAATGTTTGAACAGGGTTCACTGGCTGCCTTGCAAATCCTTGCAACTGTAAGCACTTGAGTCTGCTTGAAGGAGGCAAGGGCACCCACAACCAGGAATTCACATCTGGGCTGTTTGGGCTTGTGAAAGTGGACACAGCAGCAGTGGAAAAGCCTCAGCACCGTTGGCCAAAAGGGCCTGGCAAACCTCGACATGCCCAGCAAAGGCCGCCTTGTTGCCGAGGATTTTCGAGGATTTGAAAGCATTTTTAGCCTGATGACTGCAGCCGCAGCCTCGTGGAGCGGAGTACTTCCCGACTCGTTCTTGGCGCTGGCCGAGACCTCCTGTAGAAGCAGCTTCACGTCGTCCACCCTCCCTTCTGCAGAAGCCTTCAGGCTGAGATGGTCAGTGTGCCCAGGTGTGCCTCAACAATGCAGCGGACCTTGCGGAGCTGCTTCTCCAAGAGGATGGGGTCCTGGGCGAAAGTGGTCGCTGGCCGGCCACGTTTCTGGCACACAGGACTCTGCTTCAGTCCTCATCTGTCCTCATCGATCATGGCAAGGTGTGAGATCAGCACATCTTCAGAGAAAGGTGTCATCGTGTCATGTCCTGTCTCACCTGTACTGCTGATTGCGAACCCACGCTGCCTCTCTCGAACATATGTGATCTACTGCAGGTACATCTGAGCTTCGATGGTGCGGGCGATGGATTCAAAGATCACCGAGTCCGCGCAACAAGATGCCCACTGACAGGGGTCTGAGGATGGGATGCGTGGAGTTGTTAGCTCCTTTTGGCGGCGAGCGCTGTGCCTGGCGGGCGCTTTCTACAGGAAGCGCGACAGAGAGCACCTCAGAAGGGGAAACTAAACAAGCTGTACAGTGTTTTCCGCCAGAACAAGGTAGCATGCCATGGGAAGGCCAATTGCCAGCTTTGCGGCATTCGCTCGCTCCCCTTGGAGCACAGCAGGAATCTTTGTGTGCTGACTGCCCATACCATTGAAGCATGCAATATGTCATTTACGATGCAGGAAGGTTACGTAATGTGGGCTTGCAGCCAGAAGCGTGACTGCACTGTTGGCAGATGCAGCATCCGGAACATTGAGTCTAGATTTTTGGGTTGCTGACTCACTGACGCAGACGCCATGGCCCGTCTCACTGCGCAGGGGCCAAGTCATCATCTCTTCTCCTCCTTGTCAGTGCGGTGACTGCCACAGTCTCACGGAGAAAGTCCTATCCCATCCAGCATGGACCTGGGAAAATTCAAACACCAGTGATGAACCTGAGCGCACAAGACTTCATCAGGGCTTCCCACATCAAGTCAACAGTCATTTCTCAAAGTGTCAAAATCTCCTGAGCCGCCAGCTGCAGCGCATAGATGCCCGCGGCCATCGTGACGAAGGAAAGGGAAGAAGCCTCGGCATCGCCATTGGCCGCATTGGCTACACTTTAGAGGTTCGCTGGTATTCAGACAAGATTGGGGGGTTTAGGGTGGGCTTCGGAAACTGTGTTTGCTGTCAGGGCAGATGGGGCAGACCGTTTGTCGGTTTAGGTTTGATGGCAGGTTTAAAGTTTAGGCTTCAGGTCTGGCTTTAGGGCTTAGGATGTCGGTTATAAGCTCATGAGTTGCGATGTAGCTCTCGAATTTTCAACACATAATAAGTTACGTTTAGAGATCCCACCAAACCATTGCATTAGTACAGCACGGATCTCAGGCATTTTCATGAAAGAATCGGTTTCGTAGCGCAGTTTCTCAAGAGTATGGTTGTACTGGGAGGCGAATGCGTGAACACTTCCTCACATGCACGATCCGTTTGTGTGGACAGAACACAGCAACAGACTTACATCGGGATACATCGGGGGTCTCAACATGAGATGTGCTTACTCCTCCAGATGCTTGCTAACGCTTGCTGCACAATTCGAGATCTCCAAGCCTCATGCTAGGGTGGCTTTGGTCACCCCCAGCTGCTCCACTGATTCAATCAAAAGCTCGTGAAGGCAAACGTAGACCATGGCGCCTACACCGGAGCAAGTTCTCGGGACCTTCTTGGCATCTAGGAAACAAGGATTTCAAGCCTGCAGCAAATGCAAGGCCCAATGGCAGCAGCCATTGAAAAACCTTAGTGTTCCCAGCTTGGGAGCTTGGGGGTTTTCAACAGCACAAAATGCAAGGGACATGAAGTGACTCCAGCTTCCTAAAGTTGGAGCTGCTTGTGCTGGCTATGCAGCCCTCAGGGGCCCACTTCCACAAAAAGGAATGCAGCTAACGCCTCGGCATGCACCGAGCTGTGTGAGTATGCGGCTGGTGCCAAGGTCCAGAAAAAAGAAGCGTAGAGAGGAGCGTGCCAGTGGTGGCTGCGGAACGCTTGTCAAGATGGCAATGAGGGCGGTGAGGGTCGCAGAAACTCCACCTGCCACTGAGATGTTTTGCCAAGAGATGCTCTCCCGTCGTCCCATGGAGTCCTTTCCCTAAATGGCCAGGCAGACGTGGAACGAGAACAAGTGCAACCGCAAGGCCCTCTGGCACGTTGTGCACCTGAAGCTTATCGGAGGTTGGTGTGCTGGCTGCATAACGGTGTTGATGTTCATGAACTGGATGCATGCTGTAAGGCGTGGGCTGCAAGAAGCAGAGAGATGTAGATTCCGAACTCCTGATTCAATTGCCTGCACGCGTCGGGCACTGAGAAGATCTGGTGGTACGAGCCTTCTGTACGCTTTCAACACCCTCCCCGCAGAGGTTGCCACTGAACATGTGCCCGGTGCAGTGCAAGACTTCTTCCAGCAAGGATACTATTCATACTGTCCGCGAGCCCGAAGAAGTACGTCTGCACTGAGCGACCCTGGAGTTGTCATCTTTCGAAACTGTCGTCAGGCCTGGATAATTGCAAGTTAAAAGTACCTGAGTGATACTTGAATGACCATGAACGTCACTACCGATAAAGGAACCCAAAGATCCCATTGCAGACGACCGCACAACCTCATTCGAGCAACACTGAGCCCGCCAGGACAGATTTCGGACAGATTTCGGCTGCCTGCTAAATGCCACACCAACTGCGATACCTTCGGCTGCGGAGTGGCAGAACCTTGCTTTCAAAACACTTTGGGGTGGCACCAAAGCATTGCGTATCGCATGGCATGATAGGGACTGCCTCCAAGCCAAGACATAGCTGAGCATCGAGCATGACCGTGAAAATGAGCATGGCTTTCCGCCATTGCTTCCTGGAGATGTGATCTCTAAAGTCACTTTCACATATTACCTTCTTCTTGACTGTGACTTTGCAAGTAAACTCCAGCCTGGTCAGTTTCGAGATCCCCCTAGACATCCTAGCAGACCTGAACCCTTGATCTCTGTGAGACGTTGGGCACCGGCCGAATACCTTTGATGTGAGAAGCTGCTACTTTCTCACTTGGGCTAGTCGGGCTATATGTTGCCCTCCAGACGTACAGGCTGCTCTTGAGGCCTCAGGAGATCTGAAAGCTGAGCACACCTGCGTGAACCGTGTCGCCGCGTTGTCACGACGCTTGCAATCCAGCAGTTAAGCTCTCACTCTCCTTATTTGACTATACAACTAAGTTGTAGTTGAACTTTCCCTTCACATGGACTTGTTGAACCGAGCTCGGTGACCCCTGATCAGGGATCATATGTGATTCTCGAGTGACCCCGCGGAAAATGCGCTGCCACCGTACGCTCGCAAACACAAGAACAAACGAAAGTGCCCGCAATCCTCTCGAGCAGCGCTTCGTGCAGGGCGGCAATTTCCGACTCCTGCGGCGAGCAACGGGGCTTGTGCATGCCTCGTGTGGCCTCATGACTGCCTCATCTGTAGATTCCCTCAACATGTAGATGTTACCGTGCCTCCTCCTCGTCGTCTCCATGGAGGCCCTCGCTGGCCCGGATGAAAAGCCCGCCTGCCTCATGTGAGCACATGCCAGGCCACACAGCGATGGGCACAAAACGGTTGCCATCACCGCTTTGAATGCTTCCGCGCGCTTCCGCTCTGAGATGATGGCTAGCAGCCCGGCAAAGATCTGCCAATCCAGGTATCCACAATGCTCATGAGCCTCACACATCACACCAGGACTTGCCGTGATCAAACGAAGACTTCTACAATCAGCTTAAGTTCATGCATCTGCATGGAGCGGAATCATGTACTATGCGTTGCGCTCCTCAAGCAGCATGCCAGCAGATGCTGCAAGCATCATGCCAGCAGCCACGGCCTACGGCACTGAGCTTCTGTAACATGCGAAGGGTTTCACATCATTTCTCATCCTTAGGCAGTCCTTAGGCCACGGCGTTGGCAACGGCCAAGCCACTTCCAATGTTTCCAGCCTGCACCTTTCAAAAGACACGACAAGCACAACAGTGAGAACAAATGAGAATAGATCCGAGCGGAGGCATACGCACTGTATGCTGTATGCCCAAACATCCGGAAAGACGTCCGAAACCACTTTTCTGGGACCGGCACGAAGAGGAACGGAACAGCACCAAGGCCAGTTGTCAGGCAAGTCAGCCTTGGACACGAATACGAGCACTGGGATGCACAAAGATGCAGAGTGTCACGCAGCGCGCGGCAGCAAGTGATCCAATTCAACATCGTGCAAGCATCCGCTGCATCCGCTTTCCTTCGCGGCTTTGGCAAATCACAAACGCCGCTCGGCGGCCCCAAAGTCGCTTTGCAGCGAGGCATCCCCAGACACTCTGAGGCTCATCACGAGGAGCTGACAATCATAAGAGTTGCGCAGCGCCACACACTGTACAGGGCTGTGTGAGTCCTGGTGCCGGAACTGAAAAGCACAGAAGCGTGCTCCATTTACATCCCGTCTCATGGGCTCCGCTAGTGTCCTAAGCACCGTTTCTGGGATCAGCCACCGAACAACTGCTACCTCCCGTTGCTAGGGTGAAACAACAGCAGGATACTGAGCCAGCGCCTAAGCAGCTAGCCTGCCGAAGAACATTAACATCAGGTGTTGACCTCCTATGGCTCAGTGGAGGCACCTTCACTGTGCCAGTTGTCGAATACCTGAGAGCACTTTCGACCAGGGAAAGGCGTGCAACGGACATGGGTGTGAGGGAGCACTAGACTCACTAGATTGAGTGACAATCTCGCATGGGGCTTGAACTCTGCTTCAGGGCCCGGGCTACGCACCCGCAACTTGCATGCCCGCTGCAACGGATTGGGACTGCCATGACTGCTGCTGAGAAGATAATGCCCCTTTTTGCAGCCCAGCTCTGCCGAAAAATCAATGATTTGAGGGTGCTCCGCACCTTGAAACAGGACGAAATCGACTAGCTCCTCTACCTCTTTGCTATGTCCTCCAACCTCTGGATCAGGTCCTCCTTGTCGTGGACGGTAATCGCGAAGCGTAGGGCCGCCCCAAGTTTGTGCTTAAGTGCTTCTTTAGTGGTGGAGTACGTCATCTTTGCTCTAGCGGGGGCCTGCGGCGGAGACCAGTTGACGAGGACTAGCTGTGGATTCAGATCCACCAAGGCATAGCGTGGCTCGTCTGCAGGCAGCTCATCAACAAGGTCCTTCCAAGGCTGCGCTTTGCTCCCGATGGATTTCGGCACGACGTCGACATGGTCATCTGAAATCTTGAGGACTGCATAGCTGTGGGCTTGTTCCTTTGCGATGTCCGCAAAAGTGTGAACGACATCATCTGTCACCCGCACTCCATAAAGCTTGCTGAAGTTGTTGGGCAACGATGGAGATACCGACCTGCTGTGGTACAGACATGAGCCCAAGATCACCACCACCAGCACCCCAATCAAGGACACCTTGGCCCATGAGGCAATGCGCAGACCAGTCGGGGTCTTCACCTGGGAGTCGACGGTGTCGATGTCTGCGGCAAGGAGCTGTTCCTCATCAGCCATAGTCAATCTCGACATAGGACTGAAGGCCCAACCACGGAAGATGAATGCTACATCCTGGAAGCTCGAGCCACAGGCAGCAGAGAAGTCACACACATCTTTTCAGACGCGCAGCATCGCACAGAGACACAAGCTCACCGTGATGCTGCTTCACAGTGCTCAGTGTCTTATGGTCTTCAACTGCCAAAGTGACGTGCGCTTCGGCCCCATTCAGGTTGTAGAGCACGCTCGGGAATACGAACGCCGCAACTTGGCAGTGGAAAACTCGTAAACTGTAAGCACAGGCCAGCGCAGCAGAGTCTGACTGAACATGGTGTGATATGGCGTGTCTTGAAGCAGCCGGAGCTCTTTGCAAATGCAGGCCAACCCCTCCCAACTGTTGAAGCTTTGACAATCTTCTACGCTAGGCATATGTTGACAACAGTTGCAGGAAAAGGCGACAAAGCTCCGACGGTACACGGCAGCTTGCATTAACTTCATGCAGGGCTGTCTCGACGCTGCGGCCATGAGCGAACAACGGCAGTCAGGGCACCCGGTTCGGAGATCTGATCCAACCTCCTGCTTGAATTCATGCCGAAGGCAACCAGTTTAGGCACATGTGCAGGCAACCTTGCTTCCTATGCTTCTTGGTGCAAGCGAGGGGCTGCAACGACTGGCCTGCCCAACGAAACCTAGCTCCACAAGTTCCGAAGGGATTGGCATGCCACACTGCTATGCTCTCTCGACAGACTCACAACTGTTCCGCAAGACTTCTGCTTCACACCACCTAACGCATTCTGCCTGGGCATTGCGCACGGAGGCTCCACACAGCGCAATGTCAAATGCTGTCAGTGAGGCCGACACCGCATCTTGAAATCTGCTTGTATCCTGCCGGACTGCTGCACCCATCCGCATGCCATGGCATCGCTGTAGACCTGACACAAGGATTCGAAGGATCCTGATTTATCTTGCAGAGGCTTACAGAATCCGGGCCTTCCTCTCCATCTGCTTCATCTCGATGCAGATTGACTCAGAGGATCCTGTACGTATCGGTGCAGGAATGCGGTGCAGCTGTGCGATGCATGCTGCGAGACTTTGTCCAAGGTCATTCCGCAGCGTCCTCGTGACCAAGTGCCCCAGTGCATGGTCTGCGTTTGTTCTTCGTCCTCACGCGCATTCAATACCCTTCTGCTTAGCCTCGGCATGCAGGAGTCGACGGTGATCAACAGGTGAGTTTACAGAGTGGAGCAGTCTGTTTAGTGGGATTACCCCAGGTTGGAGGCGCGCCACGTGAATATCTCGGCAGTTCCGTTGTCCATGAGGTAGATCCCAGCACTGCGGCCATCATCAGAAAAGATGAACCCTGGGCTGAGAAGCCGATGCATCTAGCAGCTCCACAGAGGAAGGGGAGACTTGACAAGGGCTCCCAGCTCTCCATGAATACATATGACCTCCCGCACTCTCCAAAGTGTGCATCTGAACAAGGATACGGGGATGTTTTGGGGTTTGCTGGTCGGAGGATGCAAGGCTTTCTTGCCAATGCTTGTGCTCTCGCAGAGAATGTCAACTCCTTTTGCAAGCGAGGGTCTGTGCAAAGAGACAGTGATTGCCTGAACGTGCAAGGTCTCTAGAATCCCGCTGCTCGCTATGGTCACGTCGTCCTTGTCCTGGGGAGAGGCGAGACATCGACATCAGGAGAGACACGTGCTCATGCGACTTTCACGCGTCAGCAAGCACATGCTTGAGGAAAAGTTTTGCCATCCTTCAGGATCGACAACCTTGGCAGCACAGATGCGAACACAAGCACGAAGGAGGCAGTGCGAAGACCAATGAAACAATTCTACATGAAGTAGGGTATATTTTTCTTGTACCCCCCCCAAAAAGACACCCGGTATATACACTCACCAATATTAAAAAGGAACCTTATATACACTCACCAAAAACAGTAAGTAATATAAACCCTACTTCACATGCCAAGACAGGCCACCCAAGCGCGAGCTCAACCGACTTGCCCGACACGGAGCAGATCCGCTCCTTTAACGCCTGTGGCCAGAACCCAAGGTGACATCCTAGCCAATGAGGTTAAAGTTTCACCCTCTTTCACAGGGACTTCCCTGCAAAGTCAAGTTTACACCGGTCTACAGTATCCAGGGTCGAGCTGCCTCAAGGCCAGGCCTCCCTTTCAACGACCCGAAACATCCCCCGAAACCAGGGTTTCCGGCGCCCAAGCCCCAACAAAATGCTCCGTGTGCAGGGGGGTCCAAGCTGGAAACTGTCCGGGGGCCCTCTTGAATCTCCCGGCCCCGAACTTTTGGCTCACAGGTGAGGGTCTTGAAATCTTAAGGCCTTAAGGCCTATGGGATGCCAGCTCTTGGACTCCTAAGGCCAGGGGACCTTGGATTTCAAATCCCTGGCATCCGGGGGGGGGAAGGGGAGGGTTAGCACATTGAGGGCCCAACATTACGCTGTCAGTGCATCTTGTCGTGTTTTCAGAGAAATGTGCACGAGCTCGCACGAGCTCTCGCTACACAGCCCTACCTGCAGTCTAGAAGTTGACTGTTGAAACCATCCCCTTCGCCTCAACCGTCACAGGTTGGATCAGACGTTCCATGCTGACTTTCGATCAGGCACAGTTAGCAAAGTGGTTCTCATGCTGGCAGGCTTCTCCGAGTGAATCTCGCGGGTCCATGGTGACTTGCCCCAGGTGAGTGCCAGACAGGGAGTACACATCAATAGACGCATCTTGTTCTCCTGCGACGTGAGATGAAGATGTTTCTGCAGCAAAGATGGTTTCTCTTCTCCGGTCAGCAGTTTGGTGCTTCAATAGATGTTCCGCATACGCAACCCTGCATGACCCTGACGTGGGTACGAAACTCATGTGATAGGTACACCCAGCCGGGAAAGGCGGCCTTACTTGTTCAAAGAGTGTTAAACCCCAGTGAAGGCCGTTTTAAGTTGTCGAAGGGTCTTGAAAATTTTGTTGGCGGCATTTTGGTTTGTTCCAGACTGAAGGGGCGACAGGTGTTGGGATCAGGGTATGTTTCGGGGTGTTTTCGAGGTATGTTTCAGGGGTATGTTTCGGGTTTCGCGGGTGTGCAACCTGTGTGCCCTTAAAGCTGAGGCCCCAACCCCCCCAACAACCCCCCCCCCCCTCCCCCCAAGAAGCCCCCCCCAAAAACCCCCCACAAAACGAACAAACCCATTTGTTGCTTCTGTCGTTGGTTTTGCTCATCCACCGAGGCCTCGGGCCGTAGGTGTCTGCGTAGCATACAGCAGGTACCCCACCTCTTATCCCCTGTTCACGTTAACCCTCTTGGGTTGAGGGTGCTCTCCAAGGCAAGCTTGGTGCGACTTTAGCAAGAAGAGACAAGCAAAGAGCAAAGCGAAGAAACAGGGAACATCGACAAGCGAAAAGCAGGAAGCCCAAGGCGATGAAGGCAGCAAGAGACAGGCAAAGGCAACAAGCAAAAGACAAGTAGAAACAAAAAACAAGAACAACAAGAAGCCACATGCAATGAAACCTTTCAATCAGATACAAGCAAACACAAAGGAGAACAAACAAACATGAGCAAGACAGGTCGGCAGCAGTAAACCTAAACCATGGCAATTCCGTTGGATGCTAGCTTGAATTCTGGCAAACCTCGTCACATTCAATGTCCGGCCTCCCATGCCTGCATAAGCAGGCTCAAAACCCAGCCCAGGCCCAGTCTCGAAGTTGTCACTGCGTGCTGTCGTGGGTGAATCCTTGGCCACGGCTCGCTGCTGTTAAGCAAGCAGCTCCCAGAAAGAACCTATGAATCAACCTGCTTATGGCATGCCGCATGCCCTCATATGTTCTCTTTCTGGCACTCGCTGAGTTGCATCCCAGCTCACACATGTGCTCTCCGACCCACGCCTATGCAGGCTCCTCACAGAGCGCAGCATACGACAGAGAGTCTGAGCAACTTGTCGAGCCAATGACCGATGCCCCTCCTGGCGCAGGTCTCTGTCTCTGCCTCGTCAGTCTCATTGATGGCAGTGGGAGTGCCTGCAACATGCTCCCAGCACAAAGCTGCACAGAGGAACAGCAGTAGTTCTCAGACATGCAGTCGTCAGGCTGCATCCGCCCCCATTTGGGACCCCTAAGGCCCTAAAAGGGATTGCACCCGCTCGCTCCGAGTGTGCATCCATCGCTGGGCCTGAAAGGTCTCCAGCTGTGCAGACCTTCACCACTTCCGACTGATCGTGTTCTCCAGCAGCCGGCATCATTTTTGGAGAAGTGCTGAATGTGCACAGCTCTGATTGAGCCGCGTGTTGATGTACAGAAGGCGCTGGTTGAGAGCTGTCGGCTGTCTGTTTATGGTCTCTTGCAAGCAAGCTACACAGTCCGCTGAAGCAAAGGCTGCGAAACGCTGGCAGCTGGGACTCGTCTGCTGCTTGTGGACCGTGGATCACGCAACGGTACAGAGCTGAGAACAGGTCAGACCGTAGGCGAAGACCCGCAGTACCTCCAAGTGCATGCCTTGGCCAGGGCTTCGAAATTATCGCCGAAGTGGACTTTGAACTGTGCAACATGCTGTCTGTGGATGCCATTGCTCAGTGCCGGTGACTGAAAACTCCCCTCAGAAAGCAGGGCCCACGCGCTCGTAGGCGTTGGCTGCTCTTGTGGTCGCTTGCCAAGCCACGATGGCCGAGCACACAGCGACCTGAGCATGATGATGATGATGATGATGATGATGATGATGATGCTGATGATGCTGATGACGCTGATGATGCTGATGATGCTGATGATGCTGATGATGCTGATGCTGCTGCTGCTGCTGCTGCTGCTGCTGCTGCTGCTGCTGCTGCTGCTGCTGCTGCTGCTGCTGCTGCTGCTGCTGATGTGGTGGTGGTGGTGGTGGTGAACATGTAACAGCACATACATTATGTTGAACAGTGTGCGGGGTGTGTGTGTGTGTGTGTGTGTGTGCGCGGGTCCGTGACTGGCCGGTGAGTGTGAGTGCGCGAGGGTTCGGCAAGCATGCGATCATGCGACCCGCGCCTTTCTTCCTCGATCGTGCACCTCTCACGCGTACCTTGTACCCAAGCCCTGGCATCTTTCCCCAAACCCCTGGCACGTGTTTTGGATTTGGCTCATTGATGAGGAGGGGGACGATGACGACAACGACGACGAGGATGATGATCCACGAAAGAATCAGCAACATGTGCAGACCGCAACTTGGATACGAAGGTGGGTGCTAACCGGCCTGTAAGCCTGGAAGTGCCACCAATCATTACAATCTCTTTCGTTGCGGGACAAGGCCAGGAGCCAAGCCCACAGCATGCAGCTGCATCGTACAAGCTGATGTCGGAAAGTCGGCCACGCCTACTGCATGCGCGAAACCCAAGTTTTGACTCCTCAATCTAAAGACCACGGCCTGCGCTTCTGCGGGGCTGTGGCCCGGTGCAGATCCTGGCAGAAAAATGCGCGAGCAGCTTTGACTTTGTAACGGCCCAGCAGTGCTGTGGAGCCTGCACTGCCGCTCCTGTCCATACAGTACCTCAACGCGATCAACAGCAACTGTACCAATTGGACGTTGGGGGCCACTTGGTGAGGCCGTGCCTTCCAGCTTCCGGAGGCAAGGAAGTTGCCTCAGCAGGTGACCGCAGTTATGGGGTTGAGACGTGCTTGGTGCTTTATTTTCAAGCCCGTGGCAGAAGAGTCCGACTGGCGAGGTTTGCTTTGACAGGGCACTGCCACAGCCCCCTGCACTTCTGATGCCCGCGAATGATCACACGTCGTGCTGCATGCTGCACACCAGGGCCTTGGCACCTGCAGAAACGAGCATCTGACCTGGACGGAGCGTGCAAATTCACTCTCACAGCAGCCCGTTGCGAAGTCCAGCCTTTCCGCGGTTCCGAAAAATCTCAGCACTGCGCTCATCGCAAAGGCCATGATGGATGCTGCGAAACCTTTCAATGCCCAGAGCACCAAGTGCCATGCAACAGTAACAATAGCAGCCCTCCCCCTTCAATCAAGAGGCGAAGGGCACCGTCCGCATAGAAAGAAACATAGCATCAAATACATGAGCTGCGTGTACTACTCGTACTACGCGTACTCCGACTACTAAGTGACTACTACTAGTACTACTACTGGTACTGGTACTAGTACAAGCACTAGTTCTCATGTAGTAGTAGTAGTAGGTGACACGCTCTTAACTGATCATGGTGTTTTCTGCTGTTTTTTGACTTTTTCTATCGTTTTCTCTGGTTTTTTCTGCGTTTGACGGGTTGGGGGGGGTGGGGGGGGGGGTGGGGGGGGGGTAATTACGTGCTGTGCTTTGTGCACACATGACCATGCTGAGGGGTTGGGGGGGGGGGGTGGGGGGGTAATTACGTGCTGTGCTTTGTGCACACATGGGGGTCGTGCTGGGCTTTGTGCACGCTTGACCACGCTGTCTACTGTTTTCCTCTGTTTTTTTGGTTGGTTTAGGGGCAAGATCTTTTGGGCTCACAGTGGAGGGTTTAGGGTTTGCAGGTACAGATCTTTTGGGCTTTTTTGGGAACCTTTTGGGCTTCCAGTGGAAATATGGGGTTTGAGGTTTCAGCCTACAGATCTTTTGGTTTTTTTTTGGCATCTGGGGTTTAGGGTTTCAGGGCAAGACATTTTGGGCTTACAGTGGAGGGTTTAGGGTTTGGGGCTTGAGGGTAGAGACCTTTTGAGGTTTTTTGGGATTTGGGGTTTAGGGTTTAAGGGTAAGACCTTTTGGGCTCACAGTGGAGGGTTTCGGGATCTTTTCGGCTTTTTGGGATTCACAGTGGAGGGTTTAGGGATCTTCTGGGCTTTTTTGGGATTTGGGGTTGAGGGTTTAAGGGAAGGGTTTGGGGTTGAGGCTGTAAGGTGAAAGGACTTTTGGGCTTTTTCTATGGGATTTAAGGTTTAAGGGGGTGCACTGTGGGACTGCTTTGTCATTCAGGGTACACATGGGGTTTGGGGTTTCAGGCTCCAGATGTTTTGTGTTTTTTCTGGGGACGTGCTTGACGCTGTGGGGTTGAGATTTTAAGGGTGCACGACTCTTGGGCTTGCTTCAGGTTTCGGGGTTTCGGATTTCAGGGTGCACGACTGTTCGGCTTGCTGGAGGCGTTCGGGTTTAAGGACAAGTTTGGCCACATCTTAAAAAACCCGCGAAACGCTGTAAATACCGATCTTTTCCTCTGTTCTGAGAACACGTCTGCGCAAAATAGGCCCTTTAATTGACCGTTTTTGAAGCCCGAAAACACTGTAAATACCGATGTTTTCCTCCTGCGCATAAAGTAGTTGAAAGTAGTTTGCGCGACTTTTGCAACATCCATTTTTCGTGTCCGTAAACGGACAAAGCCAGGAAACGCTGTAAATACCGAGGTTTTCGTCTCTTAACACGAAAATTGCATGCCACAAAACCCCTGCGATCAATTAAGAACGTGACGCCTAGTAGCAGTAGTAGTAGTAGTAGTAGTAGTAGTAGTAGTAGTAGTAGTAGTAGTAGTAGTAGTAGTAGTAGTAGTAGTAGTAGTAGTCGTTGTCGTCGTAGCAGTAGTAGTAGTAATACTACTAGTTTTCCTACTAGTATTACTACTCGTATTACTACTCGTACTACTACTACTACTACTACTACTACTACTACTACTACTACTACTACTACTACTACTACTACTACTACTACTACTACTACTACTACTACTACTAGTTTTCATTTTTGCTATTGCCACGCACGACCCCTCTGGTGCGACCCCTCTGGTGCGACCCCTCTGGTGCGACGAATGCTTTTCGAGAACGCATGCACTGGTAATGTGGACGCTATCCTTTTGCGGGCATGCTCTGGCCATTGGCATGCTTGGCACCATGGACGTTATCATTGTGCAGGCATGGATGATGCTCCGGCCTTGACAAAGAATGCGTTCAGAACAAAACAAGACCTGTGCTCGGCCTCTCACTATCGGGAAAACACCAGTTGTTCGAAAAAGAAGAACAGTGACACTCAAATCTGATTCGTGGTGTCCTGCCCTTCGCCACTTTTGCGTCGTGCTGACTCTTTGGTGGTTTCTTCGGCCCGCGCCGTTGGCCATGATCATCATGCCGCTGATGATCGGTGTACGACCTTCTTGGTCTTTCAATGACTGAAAGATTCTCTCTCGCATAGATGTCCATCTCTGCAAAGCTACGCCGCAGCTCAGAAGCTGACTTCCGACGACTCGGCTCACAAAGGCTCCAAGTGTCAGCAGTGCCGCAGCCTTGAATAGCACTGCTTTCATGTCCAACTTCTAGCATGGGCACTCCCTTTTCAACCACGAGCCTAGCTATCCTACGTTTTGCAGTGGGGCACAAGCCGGTCGAGCGACGGCAATGACGGTTGCCATTTTCTTGCTGGCGCATCTCAGCTCTCCCGTTCTCAAGCACCTACCCTGGCTCCACTAGCTGCCATCTCCGCACGCCTGCACACGAGCAGAGGCTGGAGGATCTTTGCCGCCGTGCTTGTGCTTACAAGCACAATTGCATAATCAAACATAGTCCCTCTCTTGGATGCAAGCCGAGGGCGCCTCGTTTGTTTGATCGCTTCAGTGGACTCTGGATCACAAGCCCTGTCGGACAGCTTCGCAACAAGAATCGTGCAACATATGAGTGCACATCACTGCAAGACATGCAGCGTGAATTGATTCAGTCACACATAACCTGAGAGGCTGGCAACTTGCCATCCCAATCACAGTTTGGAGGATTCTTCGGGGCGATGATGAACCAGCTGCAGGGCCTCAATGAGGCACACATGGCAAACAGCACAAATGGCAAGCGGACGTGGAGCCAAGGCACCGCAAGTTGCCGTGCACGTCCACGAACATGCGGGTGTTGCAGAATTCTTCGCCTGACCAGGCACCAGGCACTGTGATTTTCAAAAGCAGTGCTGGTTGCAATGCGCTGTGACAAACTTTCGGCATTTGCCTGTCATCTCTGATGGGCACACATGGTCCACTCGGCTGAAGTTTCGCATCCGACAGTCCACTGGTGTGCTGGGCAGCTGTGACAGCAGCGGGGCCTGACCAGAATGACAAAATGGTATGGTGAAGCATGGTGCAATGGTGACACATGAAGGATCAACTTGCCATTGTCTCATCTTGAAGGCCTGTCTTCGCATGATCTTGCTTTCCTGTGCCATGCAAAAGCCAGACCCACGGTCCTCCCCAACGCTCAACGGAAACCTTGTTGTTTTCACTTGCACTGGCTGGAAAACTGTTGAGACAAGGCTTTCAGGCATTGATGACAAAGGAGTCCCAAGTACTTTCACTCCTGATTGGAAGCAGGCTCCAATCTCGAGGGGCATGGTTCACCTTTGTTCCTTGGGCCTACGTTGGTGACCTTTGATGACGATGATGATGATGATGATGATGCTGATGAGGATGCTGATGCTGAATTCGTAGAGGTTTGCAGGGCATTTTTTAAACCAATTCCCAGAGAACCAACTTCGCTCAATCCTGATTACTGTCACGCTGCAAGAATACACGAAAGATCTCCAGCAACTTGCTTTCTCCTGAAGGGGCCAGAGACGTGTCACTTTCCTGGCGTACGCGAATATGTCAAAAATATAGTGAATCTGCAACACACTAATAACAATATCAGAATCAGAATAACAAACACAATGAGTCATCATAATAAGAATGAGAGCAATCATGAATACGATCTCATACAATCAAGACAATGACACGAACGTGTGTCGGTAAGACTGTTATGAAACTTTCCTGAAACCCCACGGTCGCAGGCTCGCGTGTGCCGCAATCGAGTTCGTGGCCTCCCTCAGTTTATTTCATCGGGGGGGGGGGGGTGGCATTTTATGACGTGAGCACTGGCTGTGTGATGTAGGCGTCTCGTTCATGACCTTCGCGTGGAGGGTGGGGGGAAGGTATATTAACAGCAAGAATTGTGCCGCGTCGGCATATGTGCGATCGACAGCCATCAAGTCGGGCTTCAGCCACATCAACTTGTCACTACAGCTGTATTGTATGCATGCAAACAAACACCAGCACATCGTGCAGGCCTTGATCTCTCCAGCGGCATAAACAGCGACTTGACCAACATCAACGGCATCTGCAGCAGAGGCAAAGCGCACCAACATGAACGACCCTCGAGGCTTATCAGCCCTAACAGCCTCCGAAAAGTGCGATGCTTAGGCCGACGGTGGCTCGGAGGAAGGCCAGCATCTCTACACATGCAACTTGCGAGTTCGCGGAACCTTCAACTTACAGTGCCATAGAAGTATTGACAGCTCGCAAGTTGCAGTGGAAGACCTGATGGAAGGATAACCGGGAGCTCGTCCCTCGAGCCACAGAAAGGATCGTCCATTCCCCATTCCCACAGGCCAGTGTCTGACGATCTCAGGTCTTAAGCGATTATAAGCATTATTAAGCCCTAGTCAGACAAGATACCTCCAAGTCCCCCAGCCCTTGGCCCTCTTGGAGTCCCAACACTCAATGCCAGCGACATTGCCGTGGAAAACTGTGGCCTGTACCACCTCAGCAGCCAGCGGGAACTCCAACTTCGCTTGATAAAACCATGCACCACATTTTGAGACTGTTCTTTTTGTAGTCCAGCAGAGGAAGTTTCGAAGCCAGAAGCATGTGATATCTCTGCAGGCAATGAAATCGATTTCGAAGGCCGCCACTCTGGACCGAAGCATCGTCGCAAGAGTGTTGACATGACCAAGCCTCGGCACGCTCGCGCGCACCCTCACACACACAGACACATATAGTGGGGTTCAAGGTCAAGACCATGGGAACGCAAAAGGGAATCCAAGAGCATTGAAAGGAGCTCCAAAACTCAGCAAGAGTACCCATACATATCATATATACACACACATACCCGTGAATGGGCGAACACAGGCGAACTCCAAGGTCCCCACCCAGAAGTGGCACCATTCCGAAGAACAGGAAGGATGTGCCTGTAGCCTTCAGCCCAGTACATGAAAGTCGACTTAGTGTCCATCTCTCGTCTACCTCGCCATGCCCCCACTCAGTCTCTAAACCCTATCGGCCCTATCACATCCTTCACCCTATCCTCCCCAAAAGAATTTACGAGGACTCGCGGGGCATCTCAGGGCATGGCCAGGCCGGCATGCATGGCAGCCGCACTACCTCTTGGAAGCTGGATGCCTGAGCTTGCTGAGATACTTTGCTGATGCCAGCACATGCTGCCTTCCCTCCGCTGCTACTCTCAGCTGGGTGTTTGTACCGAGTTCTTCGGCCATCATGTGGTGAACCCAGAAGTCCTTTGCATCGAAACCACTTCCACATTCCCGCGCATGCTTGTCATTTCTGGGTAGTCCTCGTACTTCGAGAGGATTCCCGCCACGGATTGTGCATCCTCCACAAACTCACAAACTAAGCCCACCATGTGTGGTTTCTTCGGCGACGCGGCGAGTGCGAGCCTGATCGGATAGTCCACGTCTCCTCGTGCCACGACGATGATAAACATGAATCGTGCTACAAGAGGACATTGCGTCATCGGGTAGAAAGTTTGGCATTGATCTCCTGTAGTGGCAAATCATCTCGTCCACCTCTGACTGCGGCATACTCCGGACTTCATCGTACCTTGGAGTCTTCTGCAGGTCTCCCCTTCGTGCTTCACTTTCTGAGCTCCCTGTCCTACTCTCCTCAGCGAAAGTGTCCTCATGCCTTCCCTGTTCTCCCTGTTGCATCCGAGTATCTCCTCCTGAAGTTGGCTGGTGGCGAAGCTCTCCTTGGCCTCCTCCACCTGGGCCGAGGCAGAAGTGGGCGTTTGGATCAAAAAAAGCGACTTACAGCATACTCCAAAAAATTGGAACATCCTTATCCCCTTGCCTCAAAAGGTATACGAAAAACAAATCCCAGCTCTACTCATCCTTAGACCATGCTCCAACTTTCTGGGGTTTACTGTAGGTGAGGTTAGAGGGGTTTAGGGCTTAAAGGTGTCGGCTCTGCGTTTTGAGGAGTGCGTGCACGTCTTTTGTCCCAGTTTCAACACAGAAAGAAACACTCTGCTCAACTCAGAAGGTCTGCAGCTTGCTTTGGGAACCGAAGTGCCGAATGAACCTGGTGGATTTGATGCATCAGGTTTTTGTGTTGAAGGTTGTTTCGAAGGGGTTTGCAGCTTTTACTTGTTTACTTCCATCATCCCGGCCCGAAAGCTAATCCATGCAGGAACGAACCACTCTGCCCTTTTCGGGCAGGTAATTGAGGATGCCTCCCCGCAGGATTCTTGCCGCAGGCCTACTCGCCGGGATTGTCTGCAGAATTCTTTGTGGACAGGCACTCGCAGGGACTCTCTGCGGGTCCTACTGGGCACCCCAGGGGTACTCGGCGAGGAGTACCGGCGAGGAGAACTGCTCACTTAAAACCTAACAGCCCCATACCGAGGATTTGGAAAAGAAGTTCTTACTGTGAAAGGTCACTTGGACGGCATTTGAAAAGCCTTACGACCGAAAAGCCTTACGACCGACTCGTGTCCAAAAGCCAGTTCTCCTGTATCTCCCGGCCGTGTTCATCTGCGGGGTCATGAACCCTTTATTTATTCACTGTGGATCTCCTCAACAATCCAGCTCCAAGATCTCTGTCTCCAGAAAATGAAAATCATCCTGGAGCTTGCCGACTCAATCATATTTCGTTATTGTTGCTGCCTCGAAGACCCTAGAATTCCACCTGTCAGTCATGTCATGAATCCGCTCTTGAGACCAAACCTCTGTTTCCAAGCCACTAAGAACCCAACAACTTTCAAGCACGGAATGGCAAATATTGGCTAAAATTCAGTACGAAAATTTTTAGATGGATCAATATTATCCATTTTGATCTGAAATCTTTTGTTGGTGAGAGAGTGACATCGAAAATTTTTCTGCATTCAATTCGCCATAGTTTGCAAATAGGAAGAATAAGTTCGATGGTTGTTGTTGCATAATCGGACTGTTTCCCGGCAACTGGCATTCAGAGACCAAGGACTAGCAGATGCTTGTGTGCGACCCTTCCTGGCCCAATCTCTGAGCACCGCAACCACGAAGGCACCGAAGCCCATGGAGAAGGCATAGGACACAAGGCTTGCCTTACACATCACAGCATGAATGCAACAATCAATCAATGGCATCCCTTCGGAGAAGGCAATGCCTGCTAAAACTGGGACGCTCGGCAGCTTTCTCAAGGCACAGTTGAATCGCATTCCGCAGCACAAGTACACACTGAGCTCCCATCAGTGCCAAGAGCCAGGATTTGCTGACCAGGCATGTCTATCCCGATTCCAGCAACCACAGTCGCAACCTCAAGCTGAAAATGACTTAAACGGAGGAAGGGGGTACCCTCAAATATGCCTCGTTGGGATGCATTCAAGAATTGCATCCCCCAAGGCCGCAATGACTCTGGAAGCCGAGGCATCTGCCATCATTAGCAGGCCGTTGATGCCTCCAGAAGCCACCTGCACTGGAGAAGAGTGGCTGCAAGACAGCCGACACTTCACGTTGGGATCCGCGTGCCGCCATCGTTGGCGCCTCGTTGACGTAGTCACGCCCCAGGTACAGCGCTGGTCGATGATGACTGATGGGAGCAGCCTGCCACGGTGGTCCGAAGATCCTTCGCCCTTTCGTCCCTTAATGGAACCTGGAGCAACATGAGCATCTTCCAACTCCTCGACTACAGTCGATTGAACTATGCGAACCATCAGCTGGCAATCGCTACTGAATCGATGCTGTAAGACGCATGGCAGCACATTGTGTCAGCATGGCCGAAAGTGCCTCTTGTGAGGTGCTGTGGCAGATATTCTGAAGTGGGTGGGCAGTTCCTCGGTAAGAGTCCGCGAGCTCTGCCCGGCCCTGGCAGGAGAGTAGCGGTGGAGACTGAGATAAGAAAAATTGCCATGGCCTGGGTCTTCATTAATTCGTTTTCTTGTATTAATCATTCACTCTGCAGCTGTTCGTAAGCCCGCCTGGTTCAACCAGCAGTACGCCGCGGGGCCAACTGCTAGCAGCAAGGCGCACGATGACAGCGCCTGGTGTGCTATGGCTTTGAGCTTGAGAGAACAGTTCGAGGGAGAGTTTTTGCGGCTTGAGAGTGCAGGTGCGTCATCTAGAGATGCTTAGAGCGAGTCCGACTGAGTTGATTCATCACAGGACAAAAACGCAGTAGTCAGGTCCAGCCCCAGCATCCTTGTCCCAACGCAAAACCTACACCCTTCAACGTCCTACATGTCCTACAACATCCAGGCTGCGAAGTCCGCAGCTCGGCATTTCCGTCTTGTAGATTGGCCAGCAGCCCATTGAGGGTACACTTCGTTGCTGGTGCGCTTCGTGTGCAATGCCCATGCGCAGTCTCAGCACACTTGTGACGTAGACGTTACGATCGCCGAATTTGTGGCTGCGATGTATTCCCAGCATCTGACGTCTCGATTCTGAATCGTTGACAGCTGGACGGAGATGCCGTGCGAAGTACCGGGGCTCCAAGCCACTGCGATGATGCTGCGCTGGTGAACTGGCCATTGTTGCGGGAAGTCCTTGTCCTTGCAGGAGATTCGGACGGCTCACCACCGCAGGACAAGAATGCAGCTTTCAGGCTCGACACAGTGTCAGAGCAACAGCGACTTCTCGCAGTGCCTTGGCAGACTCCGTTGTGGAGGTGCTGCAGCGTGCTTGCGCCGCATCTCCCGCCCACCTGCGAGCACAGCTGCCGAGGACGCCGCTGAGGCACCAAGATCTTTAGATCTTTCATCATAAGTGCGGCTCTCCATAGTGCCGAGGGGTACCAATGTGCCCCCCTACGAATTTGAGATGCCCTGAAATGCCCTGAGATGCCCTGAGGTGCCAGCGCAGCATCCTCCTCCCCACTCGAGGCTTCCTGCGAACGGCTGACGTGCGGCTGACCTAAAATGACCTAAGACTCCGACCTGGCCTCAAACGATGATAGAGCTGGCAAAGTTGCATCAACTTGGCCTCTGCTTATTTTGGGGAAGTTTTTGCCCTTTGTTCAGTTCAATGTATTGCTCCTGACGCTCGGATGTCAGACCAAGGTCGACACGCCCTTCTGGTCGAGGCGGCGGGGTTGCCTCACTTTGTGGCCGTCGCACGCGCCCATGGGCAAATGTCCAACCCCAAGCGCCCCACGGTGCGTCGCCTCAAGTTGGCGGCTTCCACTGGCCTGGCGAAACATGACTGAAACCTGTCGGGCCGCACTCGGTTTTGGGGACAAGGCTTTGCAGCTGTTTAGTCCATCCCATGTACGGGCGTCTGTAGGAAATGTGGAAATGGCTGAGACGATTCGATGCACGCGCCTGGCAAGATCCATGAGTCCAACGGATGTTGCAATAGTTCAGTGTTGTGTATTGGCGCGTGTACATGTGTACAAGGTTTGCTTGGGATAGGCATGATAGCACGAAGCCCGTGCTTCCAGCTGGAAATCTGCCTCAGCTTCCTAGCCCAAGATGACCAGCCTGCAAACAGTCGGCAGCCTTTCGTGATTCTTAGATTCTTTGGAGGCTTTCAAAGATGCCCAAGGATGCCTTTGTGTTCATCAATACATGCGCTGCTTCGGCTCTCATGGCTCTAATTTCAGCTCGATTGGGCAGAGGGACGGACAAAGCAATGCGACGAGATGTTGACGAGTCCCGGCGCGGAACAAAATGCAAAGCTGGGGGGGGGGGGGGGGGGGGGGTTTGCAGCATGAACCATTTCAGCATCACAGGCCCTGTTTTGAACATCCGCATGTCGAGATTTGGCGACAGTGCCACGTCCTGCAGCTGATATAGGAAGTCCTTAGATCCAGCGCAATCCAATCCTCACTCGAGTTCTCGAAGACTTCTTCTAAGGCCTGACTTTGGGGCAGCCAAGCGTCGCAGGTCGACCCAACTTGTTGGTTCTGTACCTGCGAAGGCGGCTGCGGACTTCTCAACCCCAAAAAGCTTCAACATGCTTCAACAATCTTCCGAAAACAGCTCCCAATCGAAACAAAAAACAGGGTGCACTTGTGAGGCCAAGTTGCAAGTGCCTCGATTGCCGGAGCCAAGCTCAGCGCTGTCAGTTGGAGCCCATCCTCCTCCATGCGTGCCAACAACGAGAGGGCTGCCCTCCAATCAGCTGCGTGCATGCATGAGCGCAGCAACACGTTGAAGCTGATCGAGTCGTACTGCATGGTAGCCTGAAACACATCAAGCGCCTGCCACCACAGCATGCTCTTCTCGCAGCAGCTTGTACAGCTGTTGAAGCTCACTTGGTCTGCTTCCAGTTGCCCCATGCGGAGGTGGAACAGCAGCGCCAGTGCAGAGTCCCATAAACCAACCTTCTCGTAGGCGGCAAGCACAGAATTCGTAGCCACTAAGTTCTTGTCAAGCGACCGCTGCATGTTGCGCAGAGCAAGGCATGCACGCTGCCAAGAATGACCACGATCGAACGCAGTAATGGCTGCGGAGTATCCCACCTCATCGATGATGACACCTGCAGTGGCAGCAAAATCCAGGATGGCCCCGCACTGTCTCCATTGTGCTTGGCAAGCAGCCAGCGCAGCGTTGCAGCTCACTGTGCCAGGTTGTATACCAGACAGTGCAGGTACTTGCCCAAGCAATGCCGAGAGAGCTCGCTGCCATCGATGAGTTGCGCCACAAACGCTGATGAAGGCATTGAGAGTGATCTGGTCCGGGGCAGCGCTAACCTGCAAGGGCGCATTTCAATGGAATTCCTATATGAGACAAACCTCTAGCAACAGATTTGTAATGAGCGAAGTGCACAATGTTCCATGTCGCAAGAATCTCCTGATGCAGCTACAGTACTGACAAGCTGAATCTGCAACTAAAAAGACACAGGCCCGAACTTGAAAATTGACATGGGTCACGCACGTTCACGATTCTTTGGTGAAACAGCTTTCAGCACCCTGCCTGTCTGAACATCTCTTGAAGGATCGTCTCTGCTTCCAGCCACCGACCGCAAATCTGGCATGCAGTGAGGGCGGAGTTGCATGAGATGGCGTCTGGCAGAAGACCTCTGGCACGGGAGTGGCCCAGCAGCTGCAACACCCATTGCCACTGAAAGTTTTCACTGCAAGCGGTAATTGCCACATTCAGTAGAACGACATTTAGAGGGGATCTCACGAAAGGGTCCACGGCTACCTGCCAGTGGCCACCTGTCCCACATGCCGCAATGGCGGCTGCACAAGAGAAAGAATCAAGCGTGCAGTTCTTCCAACGCCCTTCGTCGTCTTGTATGTTGGAAAGCATTGAGAGGACCCGAGTCCACTGCGCCGCCCTCTGCAAGGAGGCCATGAGAGCATTGCAGGTTATCTGCCGTAGCGTTTCCCCTTGCATTCCTGCGACAATGCTTATGCATTCTTCCCACTTCCCACCGAAGCCACAAGCAGTGATCATGGCAGTTTGCACGACGGCATCGGCTTCGAGGCGCTTCTGCTGCATTGCCTCTGCAATCTCAAGTGCCCAAGGCCATGGCTCGGCAGCCGTGCATGCGCTGATTGCCGCGCTGTACGTCATCTCATTAGGTTGCACCTGCAATGACTCCATTGAGTCCAAAGCTCCCAAGGCCTCTTCCCACTGCTGACCCTTGGCATAGGCGCTGACCAAGGCACTCCATGTGATCACGTCCGTTTGCACATGATAGGCCTGCATATGCCGAACAATCATTCCGGCCTGAAGCCACTTCTTTGCCTTGTCACACACGCTTATTGCAATATTGTATGCGACGTTGTTCAACTCCATGCGGCTCGCGCCGCCCAGTGCCAGCAGAGCTAGAGCAACCTCCCACTGCGCAGAGATCTCGCAAGCGCGTATGCATGCGCCACACGCGAAGACGTCGAGTTTGGGACCATGTAGGGCGTGCTCAGCCACGACCGCCAGCGCCTCGGTCCATTTCGTGGCGCGGCCGAGCTTGGTGAGCAGCGCCACGCGCTGCTTCGAGACCTCCGGGCTCCAGGGCTTGGGCTTCGGGGTCACAGGAATGCCGGCAACCTCCAAAGAGGCTAAGGTCATGAAGCAGCCGCATCGATCGCATAGCCAGCGCCCCTGGGGCTCTGAAGAGCCCGTCTAAACTTGGCGCATCTAGGTGCCCTCCTTGCCCTGATCCTCCGCTGGCCGCTTGAGCCAGGATCTCATCAGATACAAATAGATACAGCATGACTCCTCTGCAACGCTTTGAGCCTGTGTTAAGGTCCTGACAGAGCCGGCCGAATCGTCAACAAATATGTTTTCTGTTTGCGCGGTCTCTGCAAACACAGCTGGATCCCGATTGGATCGCAGGTCTCCCCAGAAGGGAGACTTTCCGAAGAGACTGCGCAGAGCGCAAGTTCCCATACTTCCTCGGTGAAAGGGTATGAGGGCATGATCATGTTGAGCTTGGAGGCTCGTCTCAGTGTTTGAGGATGGGGTCGTAGTGCTCGATTCGATGGCGGACAAGGCCGGGCACTCCTGTGGCGCAGTCCGTTCCACACTGTGCCACTCGGCCAACCTAGCACTTCACACCTCAGCAGAACAGACCCAACACCTTGCAAAGAACTCAGAAACCCATCTGCAAGACCCATCTCAAACCGCCCTGCGAAGGCACGAAGGCACTACATTTTTGCAGTGGTTCGCACCAAGCCCCAGTCCTGACTGCGCTGGCAATATCCAGCGAGCTTCTTCCGCTTCGCAACGGGGGTGCAGTGCCTGGAAGCATGCGCGCGATGGCCATCCGAGCTTTCTCTTGCACGACGTCCACGTGTCCAGGAGATTTGAAGGCGGATTCGAAGAATACCCTGAATACCAGTCTCCTGCAGGTTGAAGGCCAACAAAGGAGTTTCCAGAATCATTCGAACATGTCAAAACTGGATGAATGGCTCACAACCTTATTATTACTAGATACTCGGGCATCCATCTGCTTATGTGTAGTGCCCCTCGCTCGCGGTCATACAATTACATGCCCGCGGTCATACAATTACATGCCAGTGTCGCGTCCTTACCGCCACTGAAGCTCCGACTGGGTTAGAAAAGCAGCGTCAGACAGCAGCTCTGCAGCCACCCGGAAACGACCACCAGCTTCGCATGCCACCATGGCTGATGAGCACACATCAGCATCCTCAATCACAGATGTCACAGTGGTGCTTCAGGCCTTACTCTCGAGACAAATATGAGTCCTTCTGCACCGACTGTAGCGACATAGCGCCACAAAGTGACAGTGCTGTCTGCCAAGCCTCGGAGAAGAAAAATGGAACGACTGTGAAAAGCCTGCGTGCCGCTGACCGTGCATGAAACTCTGCAAGGCGTCGCAACACGGGCACTTGGCCGCGCACCTGCTCACGTGCACAAGCTAGGATGGCACTTCCAAAGGCCTCCTTGCTCTGCAGCCCAGCCTTGACTGAAGTGTTTCTACGAACCTCGAACCATCTCACAAGCCGATTCTCACAACTGGGAGCCATGCCAAGCGCATGTCGTTCAGCAACATCGAGCAAGCCTGCCATTGGCGGCCCTGCTCGCATGCACCTGAGATCCGGTATCAAGACGCAAGGTCCCCGAAAGGTACCACAACGCCGCTACCTGATGCGACGATGCAGGAGTTACATACGGAGTTACTCTGATGCAGAGCCAATTCTCATCACATTGGTGTCAGACCGATCCGTTCAATTGCTGCGGTCGGAGAAACTGATGATGGAATTGTAAGTAACGATGGATGGATGAAGTTGGGCAACTGGCATCCTTCCAACTCAAGACACAAGACCATGCACGTCTAGATAATGTTGCAGCACCACTTGGTGACGGCATTGGCTTGGATCCTGCCTGCCAAAAATTTCGAGTGCCATGTGCCAAGCAGTTTCACAGGCGGCGATAGATGCGTTGTACCTTGCGCGGGCATGCATTGGCAACTGGCCCTGCGCTGAAACGTTCTTCTTCAAGCCTCGAAGGCAGCCCTTCTTTCGATTTCGATATGGGGTATCTGGGAGGGGGACTCTCTGCGCGGTACAGTAGGAGAGCTGACATCAGAGCCGAGATGCACAACTGCATCCAGCTTGACTTTGTCAGATCGCGCTCGCTGAAGCACTTGCAGTGCAAGATGCCACTGAAAGCTGTTCCCACAGGCACTGATCGCAGCACCTACCGTCACAGCAGTCGTGGCCACGCTCGCGGCCGCCATGGTCTTGAAAAGCAGATGAAGAGCAACTGGCCATGCCAAACCTGACAAAGGAATGCACCCAGCCGGCATCTCTTGCTATGCAGGTCAACCTCAGAGACCCTTTCCCATTCAGGCCCGGACCGTTGGCGCAGGCGCTGATCACGGCTCCAAAGGAAATAGCGTCGGCTCTGGGTATTCTTTCTAGGAGTGAGATGGCCACTTGCCAGCAGCTTCTGCGTTCACAGGTGTTGATGGCGGCGTTGTAGCATACCTTCAATGGAAATGGAAGGGAAGAGAAGGGCGCGTTAATGTATTGCACATGCGATATGCCTGCCGCAGTGCATGACTTGGACTTCGTGGCTGTTGAAACTAGAGCCCGTAAATTTTCCAGCAGGAGGCTAAGTCTTTCTGGATGGATTCACCGTCCATGTCTGCAAAGAAAGCCTGAGAAGTGCAGAGTTGTCAGCGGCTGCTGCGGGATGCTTGGCTTACTCGGTTTTTCGAAAGATTTTACTCCACTGACTCTTTGCAAGGGGCTAAAGCCATCTGCCAGCGTGGTCCAAGACCAGAGATGGATGCGGCGTAGGTCACGGAGCTGCGCTGCAGCAAGCTCTGCGACATCTCCTGTGACTTGACTAGACAGCCGGCAAAGCCGGAATAACAAATGGCGAGGCTGCAAAAAAAAACGCATGCACATAATCATATATGTACAGATACAGATATATATATAATATATATATACCGAGAGAGAGAGAGAAGTATCGTATAAGGTAAAATAAGATTAATACAACACTTGCTAGCAACAATACAAGATATCATATTATCTGGTACAAATGCGATACTTATGTACTTAGTGCAGACTGACACGCTGCTGAAAGCCATGTGCTGCATAGGATCACTCAAGAGATGGAGGATGCGAAGCCAGTGCCTTGGTATCAGCCCTATCAGCTCAATCTGGGGCTTCAAAGACCAAAATCGAATCAACAAGACCAAGTTGCTGACCAAATGGGCAGCCACACGAACTAATCGTCGCGTTGTAAGTGATGCCGTCTGTCTTCACAGTCGAACAGCAAAATGCCACCAGGGCCAAGCCTGTCTACAAGCCTGCCTGACATATCTGTTGCAGACAGAACAGCAAAATGCCACCAGGGCCAAGCCTGTCTACAAGCCTGCCTGACATGGACCCTAGCAGATGCAGAGCCCGTGACCACTCGCTGGCCTGCACGATTGGTCAATCGGCATCAATCGGCGAACAACCAGTTCAAGTCCGCCTTCTCACAAGCGCTGATGCAGCTGTTGAAGGTAACGGTGTCTTGACGGACCTGGCGCCACGGTACCCAAACGCAGCCAAGAAGTTCGAGCACGAGGAAATGAGCCTCTCTGTGTCTCTCTGCCTCAATGGTCAACTGAGGGCCACACAGCCATCTCCTGCGAAGTAGCAAGCAGGGACAAGGCGGCTGCCCAGCATCCTGCTTTTTCACATGCACTGATGGCCGAGTTCATGCAGATAATGTCCTGCCTTCAGTGTCAGGTCACGCGCATCTCAGCTCTCTTCACTCTTCCGACTCTTTGAAGCAAGTTTCTGCACTTTCGCCACCTGCATATGCTCCAGCATCTCCATCGCAAACTCCCAGGCATGTCCCTTCTCGCACGCTGTGATCACAGAACTGAAAGAGATGATGTCTTGGCTGACCTTGGAACTTCATTGGCATGAGCGCCGCCCCAGGATCCCTAAGCACAAAGTTTTAAATGCTCCCGCCTCCTGCAAGGCCATGTCATCCAGCAAGCGGGCCGCTGCGAGCCAATTCCCTCGTCTTGCATACGCATGGAGCAGCGTGTTCATGTGGACTGTGTTGACCTGAGGAGCCCGGCTGCCCAACGTTCAGGGGGGTTCGTTGTAAACCGACACTGCTAGGGAGTTTATGGTTTGAAGGCGTTTGGCCGGACTGGCCTGTCTTTGGGGGCCCTTTGCGCCACCTCGGACCCAGTGCTACCTTGGGTTTTTGTTGGGGAAGTTTTGCCAGCAAGGTCAACCCCAATTTTTCATGGAACAGAGACGAGTCCTACCAGCACGGGTCCTAGCAAGTTTGCGGGGCGTTAGTGCTTCAAGGTATTCCTGGCTCGTGTCGTCGACTGGCCTCCGTTAGTCCTTGTGAGGCCTAGCTGGGCCTAACTGGGCCTAAATGGGCCTTAGCCGGGCCTGTTTGGGCCTAGCTAGCCCCAACGGGGCCTTCCTTGGCAGCACTGGCTTCAGGAACAAAAAAAAACGTCGGACTGCTATAACTCCACGTGAAGATTAACAAAGCCACAGCAGATCAGCGTTTTTCCAACGTGGCACGCACCCCGTTTACCACGTATAACATGTATACAACATGAAAGGTCGATTCTATCAAATAAGCTTTGACTCAGCAGTTCATCATATCATATAACCGATCTTATCGTGTATGTACAAGGGAGTAGTGGTCAAAATCTACTAGAGCAACAAAGTAAGATGACGATCAGGAAGTGGCCCACACTGGAAGATCACAAGACGGGCAGAACATGACCTTATGCACTGCACGCCTGGACATTCTGCATCCGCATCACCTCCATCACCAGCAGGCTTGTAGGCAGATGCCCTTTTGCCAATCGTGAAAGGATCCAGGTCGCTTGCTCTGGGCTGCGCGACCAGCCCTCCAGTACCTTGGAGGATCGAAATGTGCAAGTGAAATATCAAATGAGTGGGCCACTGTCGTGAGGCTCGACAACTGGCCTACTCTCAGCCTTCTTGACACATGGCGTCTACACAGCTACACTGTTACGAAAGAGGACATAGTAGGTCATCACGATCCTGTCCTGCTAAGTTGCAACTCCACGGACAGCGGCGTAAACAATACCTTGAACACCTCATGAACCAACCCCAATCTATGAACATTCATCTTGCCTACATGAAGTCCGGACATTTTTATTCAGCCCTGTGCTGAAAACCAATTTCGCACTGGGACACCGGGTTCAGAACCTGTGCCACTGCTGAGGCATCCGGGCTCCTCTGCAAAGCGGCCAGGACGCCCTCGCGTGTCAGCTGCGACATCGCAAGGGCTTCGCTCGGCGTCACATGTTCTGGGTTTAAAGGCCTTAGGGAACACAAGCAATCGAGGGTGGGCTTAGCACCGCCGTAGACTGGGCTGTTGATGGCCATTTCGTGCCACCTAGCACAACGGCGGCCCGCCACATTGAACAGTGGCGGGTTACTTTGACAGCGACAGCTGCGGGAGATTGCACGAGAAGGTAAGCGCAGCAACGCGCATGCCGAACTGTCTCAGCTCTCTCTTCGATTGCAAGAAAGCACTAATCGCTGCGGTTCGCGGTTCACATGCCAGAGCGACACCCGGGAGGGCTTTCCAAGCAATAGTAGAAGCATGACTACATGAGGTTCTGCAAACGATGCAACAACAAAGGCACTCTTTCAAATGAGGTCGGACGGGTCTGTCAGCTCGTCGCCAGCTCACACTTGGTTGGGGGCCAACTGCAAGCGACATGAATAAACGTGAGCAGATTGGTAGCATAGATTCGCATTCAAGAGATTACCCAATCTTGAACAGCCCAACTTCGTGTGAGCGCCCGGGCCTCCATGTCAGTCTGGACCTGCAAGCCATGGATGGTCCACGGTCGTTGCTACAAGCTCTCGCGCGTTAGAGCATTAGAGGCTTTTATCACTGAGGCATCAGCGAGCATGGTGGGGAAGTCGGCCAGGTCATCAATCACAACAGAGGCCTGCCATCGAGCAGAGCATTCCATGCTGCTCCCGGAGTGGAAGCTTCGCGCTCCTTGGCATCAGCTTGGATCAACGAGGTCTCCTCAACCTCATCGAATGTCCCTGCGCTCGAGACTTTCATTTGCAGCCTGGCAAAGCGCGAGGAATTCGTCGTGGCAGGTGGCAAAGACTTGCATTCATTTGTATTGATCTGTCCAACAAGACCCCTCGAGGCTTTGGCAGCTCTGTTCTCAGCACCTCTGCCTGAAAGGCGTCAGTTCTCGTAGCACATGCTGTGTTTCGCCGACGCTAGCTGCTTAGCTACGGCGCAGCCAATCTGCCTCAGCCATCTCAGCCGCCTCCACCTCCTCTTCACCGCGTGCTACCTCCACAGCTGAGCACACTGCCATCTCATGATCGCTGCCTCTGAACAAGTATAAAAAAAACAGTTCTGTGCACCTGCGGCATGGAAGCTTCAAACATCTCCTCACGGGATCCAAAAAGCTGCCGTCCCGCATCCTACTCGCCACTTTACTTCTGGTGTGACTCCAGTGTGCCAGTCCTTGGCCGCCAGGCCCCACACGCAGAACAAGCCGGCAAGTAGCCTGGCAAACTCCCAAAGCTAAAGCAGAGCATTTGATTCCTTGTCAAGAGGACAGCGACTGAAGCGCTCCTCAGCATGGACTCGGAGGTTCGATGTCGCGATAGTATGCCTTCAGCGAAGCTCTTTTTCTGAAAACGTTTTCCATCTTTGGTAGCTTGCCCGTGCCAAGCAGTCATTACAGCAGACAAATGCGAAGCCGGAGCCTCCTTACAACACAGGGCTTAGGGCTTCCGGTTGCTTCGATGGCGCAGCAGGATAGGCCATCGGCCATTTCGAACTGAGGTGGGCACTTCGCTCGCAGAAATGCCGAGTGTTGTCAGCACTTGAGCCAGATGTCAAGGGTTATTCAAGGTCTTTGATGTAACTGGGATGAGACCACTCCAGCTCGTGTCCGAGAGAACTGTGCGGGCAAGCCCCAGTCAACGAAAGCGAAAGCCCTGCGTATTGCTTGATGCACGGCGGCAATGTCAGGAAATGTTGGTTTAGGGGTTCACAATGGTTCAGAGCTTTAATCAGGGACGATGCAACATGATACGTGTTGCGCTGCTGGTCGCTTCCAGCTTTTATGAGCATGCATCAGATGATTGGTATCTAAGTTAGCTGCGCACCATGCGACCACAGATCTCGTGATCTTCGGGCTTGCTTCGCGGAGGAATATGTGTGCATTTGCATACAGTGGTTGCAACCAATGTTGTCTAAAGTCCAGCCTGCCGCGATCTTGGCTTTTTCTTGAAGCGATTGAAGTGTGGGGCTTAGGATGTGGCTGACCTGTAGTTTCGGCCAGCAGCATTTGAGGTGTTTCACCATCCGGACTCGTCACGTGGCAGCTGTTCAAATACAAGTGCAGGTTGACCTCTTATGCATGTACCCTCGCGCATTGTGACAAATCCAACCAGGTGATGTGGGTGATGTTGCGGAGTTGCGCGCTACATTGGAGTTGATGTGCTCGATCCTTTTCCTGCCTTCTGCATTCAAACATCGACGCTTTGGTCAAAGCTGTCGCATCTTGGTCTTGAGCATCCGACTCCTCTGGCAGAGGCTTGTGCTTGTGGATCTGGCTGGAGCACAAACATGATACCAAGCCCGCGCTCGATGTCAGTCAAGTGGACCACAACTGACTTTGAGGAAGGAGACGAGGCTGACCGAGCATGATGCCAACCAGTAGGCAAAGCCAGCTCAGGAACAGGTTTGGTCGATGGCGCCTAAAGTTCAGATGAGGATTTGGGCCGCGACCGGGCTCCTGACAAGAGCAAACATGCAACTCACAGATCTGTATGTATATGTGTGTATGTTTAGCATGTCTGTACGTCTGGACGCGTGTATGCGCGTGTGCGTGTATGCGTCCATGCCTGTAGGTACGCATGGATGCATGCAGACATCTCTCTGCGTGCGTGCGAGTGAAGTACTGCATGCATGCATGCATGCATGCATGCATGCATGCATGCATGCATGCATGAATGCACGCATGTATGAGTGCATGAGTGCATGAATGCATGAATGCATGAATGCATGAATGCATGAATGCATGAATGAATGAATGAATGAATGAATGAAATGACAATCTCGCACGGGGCTTAAACTCTGCTTCAGGGCCCGGGCTAGGCACTTGCAACTTACATGCCCGCTGCAGCGGATTGGGACTGCCATGACAGGCTGCTGCTTACAAGATATAATGCCACGCTTTTTTGCCGCCCAGCTCTGTCAAAAAGTCGATGACTTGAGGGTGCTGAAGCACCGCGCCTTGAAACAAGACGAAATCAACTAGCTCCTCTGACTCTTGTCTACGTCCTGCAACTTCTGTGTCAGCTCGTCCTTGTCGTTGACGTTAAGCGTAATGCTCACGCCCTGAAGTCTTTTTTTGACTGCATCTTTGGTGGAGGCGTAGGTCATCCTTTCTTTAACGCCGACCCCCGACGGACCCCAGTTGACAATCACTAGCTTCTGACCCACATCCACCACAGCATAGCGTGGCTCGTCTGCAGGCAACTCATCAACAAGGTCCTTCCAAGTCTTCGCTTTGTCCCCGAGTTTTTCAACTTCGACATCATTCTCGTCGATCTTGAAGACCGCATAGCTGTGGGTTCGTTTGAGTTTGATGTTGTTGAAGGCTTCAAGGACATCTTCTGTCACCCGCACCCCATAAAGCTTGCTGAAGTTGTTGGGCAACGATGGAGATACCGACCCGCTGTGCACAGACATATGAGCCTAAGACCACCACCACCAGCACCCCAATCAAGGATACTTTGGCCCATGAGGCAATGCGCGGACCAGTCGGGGTCTTCATCTGGGTCTCGATGTCTTCGGCAAGGAGCTGCTCCTCATCAGCCATAGTCAATTGCGACATAGGACCGAAGGCCCAACCGCGGAAAATAAGCGCAACAATAGCAAGATGCTACGTCCTGGAAGCTCGAGCCATAGAAGTCACAAACATCTTTTCAAACGTGCAGCATCGCACAGCGACACAAGCTCAGCGTGATGCCGCTTCACAGTGCTCAATGTCTTATGGTCTTCAACTGCCAGAAAGTGACGTGTACTCCGGTCCCATTCCTGGCCCTATGTCTCCCCAAATGTCTCCTCCAGTCTTCTGTCGCAATAAAGGCAGCACATGCTTCGCGACGACTGCATCTGGGCTGAAGTGCTCCACCATGTGCCTGATCGATCTGCGCATCGTCTAGACAAGACGTTTACACTGGTCTTTTGCGTGTTCAGCATGTGCACAGGCCAGAAGACGTGCTCGCGCATCTGACGCTCTGAGTCGTGTGAGCGGCATCTACGCCGCTCGAGCTTCAACAGCATGTAATGTGGACCGCCGTACACTGCGGCAGTTGCCTGCACCCAACGCTCATTGCAGTGCTGCGCTTCTTTGGGCCAGCGTTTATGTGCCTTCATAGTGCAGCTTCCAGGAGTTCTCCTCTCTTTGCCTGAGGTGTTATCTTCTTTACCGGCTTCAGGCTTCACTCTTCGCTTGCGGCTTGGCTGTTGTCAGCCTCGAGATTTGGCTTTTTCAAATCACTCATGTTCTCGGTATCTCTTTCTTGAAATTTTCTTGTCGTTGAGCATGCTCACTGCATCTCCTTGCAGCCTATTTCTTCGGCTTTGAGAATGCATTCTAAGCCAGCTCTGCTCACAGGACCCTGCCGCCAAGGAGATTCTGTGTTCCCCGGTCCACATGTGCACTGGTAACCACTCAACCAGGCCCGTGCTACGAAGTTTCGGTCGTTTCGGGTCTGCAAGGCTTTGAAGTCTTTTCGGGATTTTTGTTCGAATGGCTTTCGGAGCCAGGGCAGAGAACAGCAGCTTGGGCCCTGGCCGGCGAGCAGCCTGGCAAGCTAGGAAACTCCCCAGCTGTGGCGTGTGTTCTCTCCCTCCTCTCTCCCCCTCTCTCCCAGTCTCTCCCTCCCCCTCTCCTCTCCGCGCCCCTCTGCCCTTCCCTCCCCCCCCCTCCCCAACACCCTGATCGGCCTCTCCAAGCGCATGGGCCTCGGTTCTGTGCTCCGCGACCCACCGCATCAGCTCTCGCAGATGATTTTCAGATGGCACGGCCCACTGGTGGCCCTCAAGTCCGCCCTCCACAGGCTCGAGGCCTTCGATCCGCAACGGGAGGGACACGTTTTCCAAGAGAAACTCGGTGGAGCCGCTCCAGTTAGTGGCGATCACCGGCAGACCCATGGCCATAGCCTCTACGTGCGGCCTGCCCCAGCCCTCGCCCCGACTGGGCAAAACGAAGGCGTCCGCGGCTCGATACAGGCGGGGCAGCTCCTTCAGCTTCAAGTCCGTGGCGAGCAGCTTGAACCGCGCAGGTTTACCAGGAGCCAGGTCTTGGGCCCGGCGAATCTCATCCTTCACCTTCGCCTCGAAGTTGTCGCCGCTGTGGAAGGACTGTGTCTTGATCACCAACACGACGTCGTCAGCTTCGGTGAACTCCTGAAAGTATGCGCGCAGCAAGATGTCCCAACCTTTGCGCTTCTCCCACTTGAAAACTGAGACGAAGCGGAACAGGCCACTTCCTCTGCGAAACAACCCACAGAGTCACAGAGGGCTTGCTGGAAACTTATGCAGGTGATAGCCATGAGGGAACATGCTGACACTAGACCTTCTGATCACTGAAGTCGAGGCGCCAATATCCACATTCATCGCTTGCACGGAAGGGTTGAAAAGCTCCGTGTCGACAGCCTCCCAGAGGCGAGGCTTGGCGTGCAAGCTTTCAGAAGCGCGTCAAACAGAATAACAATAACCATGATAATCAAAACAATGATAGTGGTAATAAGAATAATCATCATAATGATATCCCATCTCCTCCCTTTTTCAGGTTTCTACCGCTCGAAGGCTTTCCGGCTTGGGGCGTTTAGGATTTAGGGTATTGAGAGTCTGTTGGGCTTGGGGTTATCAGGGTTTTGGGTTTTGTGATCTAGGGCTTCCACTCGTGATTCATCTTTCTTGGGATGTGGGGGCTTCTCCTTCGTCATCTCCTGTTCATCTCCTGTTGAGGTGTATGACGGTGTATAGTTCGTTTTCTTGTTCATGAGCTTCGTTTGCGGCTTAGGGTTTTGCACCCCCTCCGGTCTCATTCATCAAATTTCATCAGTCATCACCGTTTTTTACTTTGAGCATCTCCTTTTGGAGTTTGGGCGTCGCACCTCTCCAAGACTAATAACAACAACAAAAATAAAACTAATACTAATAATAATAATAGTAATAACAACAGCATCGAACATGCACAGCAAAATGATGGCCAGGCCTCTGGCACTACGACAATCTTGTCTTGATGGACGCCACTTTTCGTGAACTGCTCCACAGCAAACTGCGACGGTACCCACACCTTTCCGCACATACGCCCACAAACATCTCTCCCTGCTGCTACTGTCCTAGCGTCGAGAGCCAGGTTCTGCTGCCCACACTGCTGTGGAGACTTGCATTGATCAGAATGAGACGTGTCCGAAGCTGCCCTAATCTCTAAGCCTCAAAAGAACGCTCAGAACACTCATGTGACTTCTGAGCAAAAGCTGGGCCCCAGGGGCCTCGTCCATGGCATTGATCCTCGCAACCCAGGACTCTGGAAGGCGGTCCGACTCATACATCGCACGCCCAATGCCTCATTGCACCGAAGTTCTGTCACTGTAGTACTGGGCACAACCTCAGTATATCTCAATATCAAGGTGCCTGGCTCCTGCGAGCTCCACCTGGAGGACAAGGCTCTACCTGGCAAACAAATCCACTTCACATTCTCGATGATGACATCTCGTCTTGCAGCGGTTCTTTCCTCCTGCTATTGAACTTATTCAATAACTGCAGGGTTGCCATGCGCCATCCGAGCCTTGCCCCAGCCGAAGGCCCCGTCTCTATGCCACACATCTGGCCTGACAGCCCAGCGCATGGGTCGCGAACTATCACACTACATAATGACACGACACTGCTGCTTTCTGAGCGGTCCAGGGCCGGCACGTCGCATGACAAACCACCACGTCCCAGCGTCCTTTCCTCAGAAGCGCCCCCCGTCAGGCGGGGCTCCCAGGTGGCCCCCAGGTGCCCCGAGAGAACCGACAAGATATCGATAACTAACATCTGGGATCTCCTGGGAGTGCGACTGGCGACCTGTCCGAAGCATTTCCTGCAGTTTGCCCCGTAGGCCTCAGCTTTTGGAGTGTTTTGAGAGTGCACACGAAGAGTCGGACATGGGAGTATTGGGTGAGCTGCCCGACGGAAGGCCTTCCACAAAGGAACTGCCTAAGCACATAAAAGCCGGCCATGCAGTCATCAAACATACCATCCTGGGCTGTCCCGGCTTTGGAAAATCTCTACTGGAAGATACAAGTAAGTTGCGCACTGGCCTGCTCCGCAAACTGCCGCAACCCGAATGCCCCTGGCGGTTTGGTGGCTTTAGGCGTTGGGGGCTGAGGGTACAAGGTGTGTTGTCACCACACCCACAGCTTACACTTGCTTTAATAATATTAATAATATTAAGATTAATAATATTAATAATATTCATATTATTAATATTATTAATAATATTCATATTATTAATGATTTTAATGACTTCCGGGGCTTAAGGCAAGGCCTCCTTTGCTCTTGGAGTAGACCTCCGGCTCAGATCGGTGGCTCGTGTGAGACAAGGCGAAAAAAAATCCGCGCTCAGACCTTGCCTTGTGCAGGGCATTCGCATAGGACAGTGCCTGCATCGGATGACCATTCAAGGACTCGCTGAACCGGGACACCCACCTCACTGGAGAATCCTCCAGAATTCAGGACTGGTGCCATCCTGCCAAAGGTCGCGCTAAGGATCTAAAAAGGTGAAGGGCACGAGACGAGTGACCCCAGCGGCAAGCGTGCCAAGCCGGCCATAGCAGCGAGGGTAAATCCTCACATCTTGCCGAGTGCAGACCTCCAAGACCAATGTCGGGAAGCAGGACTACGTGCCCTTTTGCAAGTGTAGGCGGCGAGCTGCAGTCTGCTCGGCTTCTTTTTGCAATGGCGAGACACTAGCAGATCCTCAGCGGCGTCAGCTGTACAGAATTCTGATGGCTGCTGCTGACACTAGGTGGTCTCTGCCACTGCCACACTCTACTCATTCAGAGCGTGCAGGCAACATGCATGGGGCTGGCAATTCTAGTCAGCGCTTTGTCCGACAGGTTCTCGCACTGCAAAGCCAACCCCGGAGCAACTTCCAGCCAATTTAAGCTGATTGCAGGGCGCCATTGAACCGCTATTGACATGTTATGACCATTGAAGGGCCGCGCCAACCCCGCGACTCCTGCATCAATGCAGAGTGGCTCACGCTGCTAGAGACTTGCGCAACCTTCTCTAAGTTTCCGGCTGATTGCGATAGTAGCCTCCACCGACATCTGTGCACATCGTTGCCAAGAATTCGGATTTCTGGACCCAATGCTGATGCTCTGGGGCCTGTAGGTTGACGCATCGTTGCATCAGCCACTTGCGGCGTCGCAACAGGCCTCGCACACTATCGTAGACACAAGTCGCAAGGCGCAAAAGGAGAAACAGATGAGAGGGGGGGGAAACAGCTAGCAGCATTCTTGCAAGACCGTCCCGAACGCTCACAAAAGCTCTCTGTGTCTCGGAGCAGGTCTGGGCCGCGCCTCTGCGGAGAGCCAGGCGCTGGGCTCGCGAAGCGCGCGAGATCTTTGGATTCCTGGGTTTCGCGCCTTTCGCGCCCGCTTTGAGACCCTGCCCGCTCTCGCCCAAGGAAGGCGAAACGGTCCTGAGGCCTCGCACACTGGAGGGTCGACAGAATGAACACGGGTGATTAAACTTTGCCTAAGGTCTTTGTTTCATCCTACTCTGACATTTTGAGGTGGAGCTTGCTTAGGCGGCCACTCATCAGCCCCCGCCAGCTGCGTCCACCTCGAATCTTCCGAACTCTGCAATGCACTCTGAGGCACGCTAGAACCTGCTGAAACAAATTCAGCTCTTTGTGGGAGTGCAAGGATGCGCAAAGCACACGAGTCCAGGGAGGGCTCAGGTCCTCGCGGATGCAGAGACGGCTGCTCTTGCGGAACACCGCCTCGGTCCAGCTGTTTCAGGGCAGCGCTGGAGGAGCGAGCGGCTTCATTCCGATGGTAGCCGCGTCTTCGGAAGCATTCAACTTCATCAACTTGGTCCAACACGCGGCTTCACTAGGGACCACTGGCAGATGGAGTGGTCATCTCCACCCAGCGATACGAGCACCTGAACTTGCTTGAGAGGCATACTCCAGTGTGCAAAGTGCAAAGCGCAAGCACATATATGTGGAACAGGCCAATACAGGGGACGCATCTGCAAGAAGACCAGCAATGTCTGCGAAAACTTATCTCCGAGCCACATTTTTGTCACAGCGTTTGCGCCTTCTAGTTGCTTGCTCTAACGCCAGCGGTTGTATGGGAGCCCGAAAAGGCACTGCCGGCAAGTATGGCCGCAAGCCTGTGCAGTGCTAGGCTGCAAGGCAAAAGCTGATGGGACCGAGCCGGTAGAGTCCAGGAAGCTGCAGAATGCAGAGAAAGTCTCGGTTTGAGTTGTCGATGGAATGTGTCATTCAGAAGGTAAAAGAAACCTTCAAAAAATATCTGCAACAGATCCACCCATGGTTGGTCCTGGGCTACCGACTCAGTTTGGCTGCTCGACAGTATAACAAATACAATGTGAAGATATGTGAAGCCACATCGCGAAACTCCACATTGACTGGGCTTCTTTGGCCGCGGTCAGCCTTACTGACGGTCGCAACATGTCGCGACCTGCGGCTTGCCCAGCTGAGGCATACCGAATATCAAGCAGCAAGCAAAAGCTCACCTGCTCTCTGGCAAGTTCCTACAGTACGACGACACTTCTGTCCCCTGTACTTGGGAAGTCCTGTCGGCTCGGGTTTTCGAAGTGCGAATCAAATTATCTCAAGCGATTATTCTAGAGTCCCATAAAAGATCTTCGACGCATCTGCGGCGGATCTGGGCGACTGACCTCGATTGGCAGGTGGCACTACTGCAAGTGTACTGCAAGTGTCAGGGGCGTTATTCTTGTCAAGTTGAGTTTCTGATAGTTTGTGCGTAGAGATTGCGAGAAGTGGTTCGAGCCGCTTGGGCAACGAGGTGTTCAGCTGATCGACAGCCCCATCTGCAAATCCGAGCCACTATGGAGGAGAGGTCTGAATGTCGACGGCGTGACAGCGCATTCTGCACTGAACCTTGGCGCTTCAATCAGCGGGAGTGCAGACTGCCTTGCAACATCTTGCAACTATAACGTCATCGCGTATCTCACATCGCTCCATCTCCTTTCAAGTAACTTCTCCATGACTCCTTGGGAGGCCGAGGAGAGAATGGTGTCCCGTCTGACTTGCTCATCTGCCTGCTCTCAGTCTTTGGTGCAACGCGTTCTGTGTGAGTTTTTTACAAGGTAGGGTGAAGAATAACAGAACAAGGTGGTGCTTCAAAGGCCCTGAGAACATGAGGAAGCCTCCTGGACGACAGTGGCTCATTCGAAGAAGCTTGGCTGTCCTGCCGCCCCCCCAAGCCCAGCCCCCTTGCCTCCCCAAGACCGAACATCCAAAATCCAAGTTGAGGTCACTCTGGCAACAACCAGTCTGGAGGAGTTCCGAGGTCTCTCATGCTTCCCCCTCTCATGTTGAACGGCACGTGGCGGTCCTGTCTGAGCTCTAGGTGCTGGATGGAAATCATCGGGGCCCCACTGGGCACGGCGGGGAGGTGGTCGGAATGCCACTTTGTAGGCACTGACTCCTCCAAGGGAACGGCTCCATGGCACGAACGAGCCAGGTGTGGCTGTGTTGATTTGTAACATACTTTAGCAGTTGCTTAGACAGTGCTTTCAGATGGCCAGAACATACGAAGTCCTGCACTGGGCAAGTAGCAGCATGTAGCATGGACTCGCCAGAGGACAGTGAGGAGACGGACTCCGGACGTGCGAGCTCGCCCACTTCGTCACCAGAGCTCGGACTGATAGGTCCGCGAGGTGAGGCGTAGCATGCAGCCTGCGTGTTCTGAACCGATATACTACCAGGGTACCACCCATGCACTGCCCATGCACACAAAAAGCTCGGCACCTTTGGCATGTGTGGTAGAAGATATCCTGCAGGTAACGCATTTGGCACGCGGCACGCAGATCGTGTGTGTGTGTGTGTGTGTGTGCGATTCGATAGAATCCGCACTTTTAAGTATGGATCAAGCAAAGCAAGTTGAATGCTGGTGCCTTCGTCTCTGGCGAACGGTAGCTGCGGCCGGCGCTGCCGTGGAGTTGTCTGCAACACTTGGCAGGAGTATAGTTGCACGTCTAGTACCAAAGATCCTGCCTTCTCAAGAGCTTTGTCCAAAGATCTTTCCACCTCACTCCTGATATCGCTACCTGGAGAGGAAGGTCGTGTATGGAAGCTTCGCTTCTGTGGGAGGAGTCCAAGGGGTGAAGAAGTAGCTTGCAGTCAGGTTGCCAGAAATTGGGTAAAGCTCTCTCCGGTACTTGAGCTTTGGCACCCGTTTTCTGTCTGAAGACTCTGCGGCCTGTCCCATGTCGGTTTCAGTTCACCGACTCATGCCCAAACCATCCCCCTCGTCCTCTTTGTCTGGAAAGGACCGCTGCTTCCAGAATTTCGGCCTTCCGAGAACAGATGCTCCAAGTATTGCCCCTGTGTCCATGAACCAAGTCGCACACAACAGGCTGCCACCATTCGACCCAAGCACGCAAACAAAAAGCACGCAAACAAAGCTGCACTCCAGAACCTGGAGGCGGGCGACTCGGGGCCAGCCTGGGCATAGTGCACATCTCGGAGTCACATCTCGGAACCATCTCTGATTTCGGTCTTGCAGTGCGCTGCATGTGACTCTTACAAACTCAGCCTCCTGTGCATCAGGAAACATCGGCGCACCAGAGCTCCTGCGTTAGCGAAGATGCTCGAAGATGCGGCTTTGTCACTCAAATGCCGACGTGCTATGCCATCTACAGTACGAGTCTCAGGTGTCTCAGGTGTCAGGTATGCACAAGCCTTGAGTCTGGGCTGGTCATGCTGATCTGGAAAAAGGGCTCCTGCAGCAACAATCAGCAACACAGCCACAACTTGGTCTTGTCGGTCTTGCACACCAGGCTTCTTCCCCTCTTTTCCCCCTTCTTAACCCGGAACTTCCTTGTCCAGGGTCTTTTCCAGGTCAGGCTTTAGCTCGAAGCCTCCCGTAATCTCCCACACTTCTGTGCTCAAGAAGGACTTGTTTGGAATTCGGACTACACTCCTTGCAGCCATGGTGCTCGACATTTTGAGGTACTCTCGGTGTTGCTTTACCCGAGGTGCTAGCCTTCTGTCCTGCACAAGGTAAGTATGCTGAGCATAGTCTTCGCAACTTCAACTCCACGCATGAGCCCTCACATGAAATCACAGAGGAGCCGACATCGTCTGAAGGGGTGCTTTGTACGAAGCCCAGAGGCCTGCCATAACAATTTCTGCATCAGGTCCCCGACCGTGGCACATGGAGGTTGATCCAAGTTCTAGGTTCTTTTGGGGTGCCTTGTAGTAGATTCCTCACCAAAGAGAACCCACTATATTCACCTTGGAGACCAACCCCCAAACATTGGCCTGTTGAAGATGGCTGGCCCCTGGCGAGCTTGAAAACAAGTGGAAGCAACGAAGCTGCTCAGTAGCAGGCTGCTTGCACCGTGGCCTCCGGGGACTCCGGAAAAGAGGTGACCAGCCCCCTGAAACAAGCAAGGCGACTTGACAAAAACCTACCGGAACTGCGCGACTTTGAATACCACGGTCCGACGGCTAACAAAAAAAACCTTCCCCAGAACTCCAGAACAACGGAAGGTCAAGAGCCGCTCAGCAACGCAATGGATCGATCCGAAGAGAACGGACTCACGCAGAGCAACTTCAGTCCAATTAATGTGGATGCAGCGCCTCGATGGTGTGCTGGCTGCCTCAACCAGATTTTTGCAACAAGCCAGCAAGCAAAAGCGTGTACTCAAGCCATCTGATGCCGACGGCACTTGCAGGTTGAATAACGCACAGAGCTTGCGGACATAAACCCCAGCAACAGCCAAGGTGCTTCTCCAGGTGAGATCGGAAGCTCTTCCGCTCCAGACACCTCGAGAAGAGCAGGTCCAAAACCCCAACGCTGTGGAATAGTGTTGCTGCATGCCCTTGAATCCTGGACCTTAAACCCTATACCTAAACCCTAAACCCTAAAGTTTAAGGTTAAAGTTAAAACTTCCGGGGATGGTGACCACTCCCTGGTTCAGGGATCACAGGCTCCTGAACAAGGGGAACTCCTGGATTCCTTCAGGACATTTTCCCAACATAGGTGGTACGCGGGCACCCCTCGTAGACCCCCAAATAGTATGTGCAATATCTTGTTTTGGGAAGCCCGAAACCCCCTAAACATGGTACAACCCCCACCCCGATTGAGGCACTGAAGAGATCTCAGAGTGGGAGCTGCGGGGTGCTGCACACCTCGTGTACCTCCCTGCTCGCACTCCAAGATTTTAGCACGCATCGCTACTTGTTGGCACTGCTATCCAGGAATTCGGACTGCAGGCCAGGCCGTGGAATTCCTCCAAACCGGAAGATCTTCCGGACCGTCAAACTTGCTCGGGTATGGACACCCTGAAAACAAGATTGATTTGTCCACCTCACATGGGGATTCTGTTGCCCAAGCTCCTGAAGTAGTCTTCAATGGTCCATGGCTCAGGCACCAGGTCTTTGAATGCCTGCAAGTCAGTTTCTGAGATGGGATACCCTACCTTCTCCCAGTATTTGTGCATCGTCACAAAGTCCGGCATTACGAAACCCATGCTCATCAAACACGGCCCCATCACTGGCGTGTACTTGACCTTTGTTTCCGTGCCAATCACCTTTGCATATACCAAACAAATCTCGGCACCACTCAGCTTTTGGCTTGCGAGGTTTATGGTCTGGCCATGGTGTGCACAGGAGGCATCCGAGGACGTTGCGAAGCATGTTGCTGCTGCTACACCCAAGTCCCTGCAGCTCACGTACCACATCTCCATTGCAGCATTGTTTGCTAAGCCTGTGACGCTGCTCTTGGTCAACCCGCCCATCTCCTTGTCCATGAAGTTGTCCATCAGCGTGACAAGGCGGAGCACTGTCCACTTCATCCCCCTGTTCTTCAGTGCCTCCTCGATATCATCCTTCACCTTGAAGTTCGGAATCGAATATCTTTCGCCCTCATGGCACCCTGCCACCG